TTCAAAACACATGGGGTTTGCTGCCTTTCATCACGTATGTGTCTCTGGCAAATCAGCTGCCAATGCCAACTACCTTGTTTGCCAAAGCTGTACTGCAACATGTCAGCCACTCTGCCAGCCAAGCGCCGTGCCATGTCTTCGCTGAACGCGTCCCACTTCTGCTGCTTCTCCTTCTCAGAAGCAGAAACCTGCAGTCAGCATGGCAGACAGGCCAAGAAAGGCAGCCAAGAGGCAGGCAAAAGAGGGAGGCAAGAGAGGCAGGCAAGAAAGGCAGGCAAAGCAGTCGATGCAAGAAGTGCAAACACCGGCAAACCGGAAGGCAAGTTTGGCCACCTAACCTCCCACTATTTATCATGCAACCAAACAGGGGGCCCTAAAAGACCATGTTCTTTTTCAAATTAAGGGACGCTATCAGGTTTCATGTTAATTGGCGGGAGGGTACATAGTTGGAGAAACAACTTGACCCTTGCTTTCAGCACGCCCAGCTGGCAGTGAGTTGCCCACATGCATCTGAGCCCGTGGCAGAGTCAAAGGCATCCCACTTCTGGCTTGCCTCCTGCTCTTGCACGAGGGCCTATAGGCAACTCTGTGATCGCTTGCCATGCAACCAACTGCCTGGACAACGCAGTGGCTGAAAACTGCTTGACAACTTGCAGCATGTTGTGCCAAGTTTGGCACCGGCTCGTCGCCGAAGGCATCCCACTTCTGGTTGCTCTGCGGCTCAGCCACCGTGGCAGCCGCAGGGGCCTGCAGAAAACCACGACATCCGCAATCATCCGTTGGCCAACTCCGGTCTGCAGCATGTCCCATGACTGAGCACTCTGCCAACAATGTCAAATGTGCAGTGCCAAGTGCCGCGCAATGTCTTCGCCGAAAGCATCCCACTTCTGCTGCGTGTCCGTTTCAGACGCAGGAAGGCAGGAAAAACATCCGACGCAGGCAGCGCAAACAGGCACGCCAGAGAGCGGCACATTGCAAGCGTGCGAAAGCCTCTCGGAACGTTGCAGATCATACTATGGCAAACATATTTTGCAAAAAAAGACATGGCAAGGCCAAAGCAGCAAGCCCAACATCTCCTTATTAAGCTCCTTCAAGATGAAAGCTGACACCCCTCCGCTTTCGTGGTTGCTGGAAAGCGAGCAAAGCCAGAAACTTTGCCCTATCTTCATGGCCACCAGATTGGCATCTTGCTTCCAGACCGCCCAGCTGGCTTGTGATTCGCCCATGTGCATCCGAGCCCGTGGCAGAGTCAAAGGCATCCCACTTCTGGTTTGCCTCCTGCTCTTGCACGAGGGCCTATACGCAACTCGAGCATGTCATTGCTTGCCATGCAACCAACTGCCTGGACAGCACAGTGGCCGAAAACTGCTTGACAACTTGCAGCATGTTGTGCCAAGTTTGGCACCGGCTCGTCGCCGAAGGCATCCCACTTCTGGTTGCTCTGCGGCTCAGCCACAGTGGCAGCCGCAGCGGCCTACAGAAAACCACCGCATCCGTTGGCATTTGCATTGTGGATCCTTGACTGCTTGGTGGAGCATTCACACGTTCGCTGTTGGCAAAAACGACATACGCCAACACCTATCAACATGATGAACAGGTGGCGTATAGAGCCTTTTGTACTCGCCACAAGAGAAGGAGGGTTTGATGAGTCAGAATCAACATCTGGAGTCTCAATAGTTCAATAGTCCACCCATGACCCATGGCGCCTTTGGAAACCAAAACGGAACACAAACAAAAGGAAGCGGGTGTTAATTTTACTAAGAATGACACATGGCATCGCAGTTCCATCTGGAAGACACGACCGCCCCATCGGTTTCCCGCAGTGAGCTGCGGATTCCCACGGCTTCCCGAGGCTTTGGACGGGTTGCGGCTCTCCCACTCGCTTGCCATCGGGTTTCCCGGGGCTTAATCCTACCGCGCCTCGCCGGGGCCGGAGGGGGAGCCGCCCAGCAAATCCTGGCGCAACTTTGGCAGGTGCCTATTTTTGAGGGTAAACCCTTTTAGGTTCGTGTTGAAGGGATGATCGTGTGTGTCTTTTTTCGAGTAAGCCTTGGGTTTGTGTATGGTAGGCATCCCTAAAAACTTGAAGGAACACTCCTTGATAAACTCGGCTCGCAACCGCCACTCGGTGGCTCAAGTACTCCACTCCAATCTCGGGAAAAAGCCAAGAGGAAACCGCTTTTCAGGAAGTAGCTCTAGCCCAAACCTATGGAAAACAAACAAAAGGGTGTTGAGCCTATGTCTGGCTTGGGACGGTCCCCATTAACCTTCCACTACCCGGGTTTCGATTGGCTCATTTAGGCTTTCGATACGATGATTTCTCATCGGTTGGACCCTTTGGTGAGACTGCAACCACCTGCAGCTTGAAGAAGTCCCCAATCAAACGCGGCCAAATGATTGCGAACCGCAGAATGGGGTCGTTTCAGTGTGGGTTCCCGCTAGAACAAGCTGAAAAAACGGCTTCCCAACCAAAAATCATAGCCACCTGGCCAAACGAGTATAAATGACAAATCTGAAACAAGAATCCCCCCCTGCTAGAAACCCCTATCTTGGCTAGTTCGCTTCACCCCAAGAACCAGCGAGCTCGTCATAAACTGCCCAACTAGGGACACTCCTACTCGCCACATAACAAATTCCAACAAAAAGTCTAACCTAAATCCCAACAAACAGTTGTCACCCAAATCCAAACCAAAAAAGTCATAACCCAAATGCCAACCAAAAGTCATAACCACCGGCCGAACAAATACAAACCATAGGACACTCCAAAACCACCAGACGCCAATGCAACTCGAGCTCGAGCGAGCCTGGGTTTCAACCTCCGGCGAGGCCTGCGGCACCTGAGACTGGATCGCTAGCACCGAAGTGGCGCTCAAGATGGTTTCTGCCATGCCCAAACCACAACCCCCAGTGGGGGTAGTGGGATATACAACCACTAATATGGCCACTATGCAACGGTATGTGTACCATTTCCTGGGGTGGTGGTGTCAAGTAGTGGAAAACATCCTAGAAATATCCTAGAAATTAGGATTGATCCTCTCTCTCTTCTAAGTCCAAGATAACTTCCGCAACCCCCCACACCATTAAAAAGGGTTGTGTATCCCACTAGTCGCGCGGTCTATGGGAGGAAACAAATAAGCACGTTGTTTCCACTACAAAGGTGCGACCCCAATGGGGGGGGTAGCGGTTGATCCCCCTTTCTCCTCACCCATGGTTCTCTTCAGAAACGCATTTTCCCATGGCAGGATCCCTGTATCTGGCCCTTCAAGGGCAGCTGGCTGTTGTCACAAAAAGCTTTCCCAGATCCTAGCTACTAGCACCACTAGTAGGTAAAATCGTGAAATTTGGAGCTACGGCCATTTCCAAATAGATAGCTTTTATAGATCCCAGATTCTAACTTACGGGAAACAAGTTGATTTTGCTAGTAGAAAGGCATCAAGCAAAGGTCCCAAAAGTGCTTCAGTGAGAAAGCTTGGGAACATCAAATGTGAAATTCCAGTCACTGATTCCAAGCCCAAACAAGTCCAAACTTTGCCATTCAATTGGCCCAAACCCAAAAAAAACACAAAAGGGATCTATTGAGATCTCCGGTTGGGTGGGACCCCAGCGGCCAGTGCTTCGAACTCCGCGAAGACGTCCCGCTTCTGTGGGGCCGCTTGCGCCTGGTCACCTGCGAAATCGCCGCGAAATCAGATCTGAGGTTTAAGCAACTTGACATGTCCGCTGAGAGATGGATGGTGTAGGTTCTCCCGTCTGGCTTTCCTTTTGATTAGGATAATATGTCGAAGCACCTTCGGGGGAATTTGACCCCTGTGGACAGCCGGCACAACAAAGTCACCCAACGCCCCCAAAAACCAACCGCGCAAGCTGCACACGGGTGGACATGAGAATTTGGGCGCCAAAATGGCTGGTTTCGTTTTGCTTTACCCCAAAAGCCAGGTCCCCAAAGAACTAGCAATCCTCATCACAGTTGTATGTTGATCAGCCACAAGTCAAGGTGTCAAATCAGCTACAAACAAACCTATGTATTGCACTACAATGACATGAGAAGACTGGGGCCTGCCTGGGTGCTGTGGGCACGTCCCTCATCAACCAATAGTAGACTGGTTTTGACTGGCCAAAAAGGTGATCCGGATATCAACTGAGATTCGAAACTAATGAAATTTTCAGGGACTTAAATTAGAACAGCAGGCACGAAGTTCTTTTCTGCTCGCAAGCATCAGACGGCAAATATCCGCTGAACTCGCCTCGGCATGCACGGAGGGTCCAAAATGACCAGGCGGCGAACATGGGTGTTTCTCAAAATAGGGGTCCCCAAAAGGATTTCCTTTTGGTGTCTCTTCAAAAGGCAAACCAAAGGGGGTACATCATGTTGAGACATACATTCTCCAAACGTGATGTTGACATCATTGGTCATGTTCATTTTCATGAGCCCAGTCAGACGGCGTTCAGCATCACCTAGACTGCCAAATATTCTTGCTCTGGATTTGTGTAGTGAATCTAAAACTGGCTAGACCCTTACACATTGAATGGCTGGATTTATACATCCGTCCATCTTTAAGAGTCCATTGAAATTCACAGCCTTGCCCTCCTGCTTGAGCAAAGTCCGCTGCTCCGCACGCTTTTTCGTTGGCGCAAATCGATTGGAGTTAGACATAATGCATAGTGCCCCAGAGGGTCCAAGTAGTACTCTGTATTTTTCGGGTTAGGGGTTGCAACTTGCCAAACATTCGCGGGCTGCCATGTTACAATGTCTTAAAGGAGACTTGTCGATTACACAGCGCTGGCAGTTGCCCCTCTGGAAAACCCAGAGAAACCATTTGCAAGCTCAAGTTGGAAAATCCAGCTGCATACCATGTCCCAAACAAATCTGTCCCCAACCCGCAATATGAGGTGCTTGGTCCCCGTGGGATCAAACGGGAAGATTGCAGGCAGGTAGTGTCCATCGGGCCAGTAGCAGTTCCACTGGCCGACGTCACTCGTTGTTCTACCGGCGCATTCCCTCAGAGCTCGCCGTCACTTTCGGCACCGCATGCCTCCGGAGTTTGGTAAAGAACATGTGGTTGACTTTTTGAGGGGAGTTGGTTTCCTTTGAAAACCACAAACAAGAGATAGCCACAACAAAGACACCCCTAATGAAAGGGGTGGTGTAGTTCTGACCCCACTTCACCACAAGTCATCGGACCCGTGGTAGGTGAAAGGGAAACAACCCCAGTTGCTGGCTTGGTAGCTCCCCCCCACCCCGCTGGAGAAGAAAACCGTTTGGTTCCCGCACAACCCATCCTGAAGAGGAGTTGCGCAGAAACCAAGCCAATCCCAGGCACGTCTTGCGTTGTTGGCGTTCTTATCATTTGTGGTCGCTTTTAAAGTGCCGGCTGAGGGCACAAGGTCCAATCATTAGATGGAAACCAACATGGATTTGATGTCTGTAAAATAGGGAAGCCCACGACCGTTCAACAAAGACACACCGCTGTAGATTCTTCATGTCCATGAAAAGCCCCTCTGGCCTCCATGATTTCCGTCTTAACCACTTTCTTCATTTCGCGGCCGTGGTTGCAGCGGGTGACGATGAAGTAGACCCCGATGCCCAAAATGGAAATCACCACGTTGATGTAGTAGTACTTGTTCAGATTGCCTGCGCTGCTGAGACTTTCTACCACTGAAACCCAGTGCTTGCGGTTACCCCTGTAGTGCGTAACCAGCTGGGTTCTTATCTCAAAAGGCCACCCTGAATGTTTCCGCCGGACCCCGCCGTCATCCAGGCTGTTGGGATACGCCATCTTGGCGACCACCGCGGTGAAGGCGTTGGAGACGGAGCCTGAGAAGAATAAGTTCACCGCTTGCAACAAGGACCTCAGCTCCATGGGAGCGGCTTCGTAGGAGAAGCAGTACATGCAAGGGTTCACCAGGATCTCAGCTATGCCCACCAATGTGAACGGCAGGAAGATATAAAAGGCGCTGATATCCTTCATGCGCGTGCCCTGCAAACAGGGGTTGCTTATTAATCCACGCACTGGTCCGGTTTGAGAAGACACCCCAAATTGACATGTGTCAATATTTGGGGGGCCTGGTTTTCTTTAAACGCGGACAAGGGTGTCCAAATCAGCCCAAATCGATTTGCCAAATCCTGGGCATGTCTTCGGGGGTTTTTGTTTCGGACAAAAAGGAAGGCGCTGGGGTGTCAAGCCGTCAAGCCCATCTCGAGACCATCGCCTCAAGGCCATCCTCGCTGTACCCGGGGGCGCACTGCGAAAACCCGATATCAGGGCCACAAAGGTAGGGCGCCGCCTTGCGCTTATCCTCACAGGACCCACACGAAAATGGACCCTCTCAGAATTCGGTGGTTGGTCCACGAACCACTGAGGTGGCTCGTTATAAAATCCATCGCCGTGTTTCCAACCCAACACGTCACCAAGGCAAACTCACCAGCTCTTTTTCTCCAGATGCCCCTTTCAGGTTGCAATGAACCACCCCTACCTCAAGCAGCGCTGCTGAGACATTGGAAGCAGCGGCGATCAGCAGGCCTCCGGCAAGAGGGGCTCGCCATGTCCAATTTTCACAAATGAACGGAGGAAACCAACGCGGGTCAATCAGGTTCCTCTACAATATGGATGTGTGCCACAATATGGGACCCCAAAGTGGTGCTTGTCCCTTGGTTTTCCTGTAAACAGAACCAACCAGAGTTGGAAAAACAAAATCCCAGCTGTTTTGGGCATGAATTTAGACTGTTTAAACGACCGCCCCCGAACATCCAAGTGATGAGCATGTCGGGGGTTTAGGCCAAGTACTCAAATAGAAACATTGGAATACATTGGATCAAGTGCCTCTTTTGGTTCCCCCATTCGCCGCTTTAGAGTCCCTTTTTTCATTCGCCCGGGCCTGCAATGATCTTCTGCCCCAATCGGACGGGGGAGCCCTTGATTTTCGCGATCATAGGATAGAGGCAGGTCTCGAAGAGCGGGGTGAAGATGATGATGGCGAAGGCATCCGCGATATTGAAGAAGGCCCCGTTCCTCGGGGTGTTACAAAACACATACATAGACTCAAACACACATACAAAAGGAACAAAACTAGACGACGATTGGCCCGGAAGCATAGAGGCAAGTTGATGCAGGTGAGGTAACTCTCGCAAAGTTAGCATGAGGAGTTGGCAGGCGAAGCAATTCTCAAAAAGTTGGCATGAGAAGCTGGCAGGTTAAGTAACTCTCGAATAGTTGGCTGGCAAAGTTGGCGGGTGAAGTAATTCTCGCAAAGTTGACATGAGAAGTTGGCAGGCGAAGTAACTCAAGAGAAAAGTTGGCATGAGAAGTTGGCAGGTGAAATAACTCTCAAAGAGTTGGCATGAGAAGTTGGCAGGTGAAGTAACTCTCGAAAAGTTGGCGTGAGAAGCTGGCAGGTGAAGTAATTCTCGAAAAGTTGGCACGAGAAGATGGCGCGTGAAGTAACTCTCGAAAAGTTGGCGTGAGAAGCCGGCAGGTGAAGTAACTTTCGAAAAGTTAGCATGAGAAGTTGGCAGGCGAAGTAATTCTCGAAAAGTTGGCGCGAGAAGTTGGCAGGCGAAGTAACTCTCGAAAAGTTGGCAGGCGATGTTGGCAGGTGAAGTACCTCTCGAAAAGTTGGCATGAGAAGCTGGCAGGTGAAGTAGTTTGCGAAAAGTTGCCACGAGAGGTTGGCAGATAAAGTATTTCTCGAAAAGTTGGCATGAGAAGTTGGCAGGTGAAGTAATTCTCGAAAAGTTGGCAGGTGAAGTTGCCACGAGAGGTTGGCAGGTAAAGTATTTCTCGAAAAGTTGGCATGAGAAGTTGGCAGGTAAAGTAATTCTCGAAAAGTTGGCATGAGAAGCTCGCAGGTGTAGTAACTCTCGAAAAGTTGGCATGATAAGCTCGCAGGTGAAGTAACTCCTCGAAAAGTTGGCACGAGAAGTTGGCAGGTGAAGTAACTCTCGAAAAGGTGGCATGAGAAGCTGGCAGGTGAAGTAATTCTCGAAGTTTCGGCATGAGAAACTGGCAGGTGAAGTAATTAACCCTCAAAAAGCTGGAGCGGCGGAGGCGCTCCGCGTGCTACATTTGCAATTTACAGTTGCGATTTTCCAGCCATTTGTATCTAAAAGTTGCGATTTTCCAGCCGGAGCTGCGGGAGCACGCTCCGCGTACTACGTCTGTACTTAAAAAGTGCGATTTTCCAGCCGGAGCTGCAGCAGCCTCCGCGTACTACGTCTGTACTTAAAAGTTGCGATTTTCCAGCCGGAGCTGCAGGAGCACGCTCCGCGTACTACGTTTGTACTTAAAAGCTGCGATTTTCAAGCCGGAGCTGCCGCGGACCAGGGGGGAATCGAACCCGGGACCGCGGGATTGCGAAAGCAGGCGCGCACACCACGAGACAACTTCCAAAAGCCGTTTCGCGAGCAAGAAAATCGCACGGCGCCACAGCGAGAGCGCTTCGACACGCACGATCTCCGCAGAGGGTTCATCGGGCTCAAGACAGATTCGCACGGCGCCACAGCGAGAGCGATCCGACACGCACGATCCCCGCAGAGGGTTCGCCGGGCTCAAGACAAATTCGCACGGCGCCACAGCGAGAGCGCTTCGACACGCAGGATCTCCGCAGAGGGTTCGCCAAGGTCAAGACAAATTCGCACGGCGCCACAGCGAGAGCGCTTCGACACGCACGATCTCCGCAGAGGGTTCGCCAAGGTCAAGACAAATTCGCACGGCGCCACAGCGAGAGCGCTTCGACACGCACGATCTCCGCAGAGGGTTCGCCAAGGTCAAGACAAATTCGCACGGCGCCACAGCGAGAGCGCTTCGACACGCACGATCTCCGCAGAGGGTTCGCCAAGGTCAAGACAAATTCGCACGGCGCCACAGCGAGAGCGCTTCGACACGCACGATCTCCGCAGAGGGTTCGCCAAGGTCAAGACAAATTCGCACGGCGCCACAGCGAGAGCGCTTCGACACGCACGATCTCCGCAGAGGGGTGCGTTTCGTAAGCTCCCGTCGGGCCTACCCCCGCCATAAAAAGAAGAAGAATTAAGAGTCGAGATGTGAAGGTAGAACAGAAAAGTTAGCTTGTGTTTTTAGGATAGTGAAGTAACACCCGACAAATTAGCTTGTGCTTTTAGTAGAATGAGATAACAGCCGAAAAGTTGACATGAGAAGTTGGCAGGTGAAGTAACTCTCAAAAAGTTGACATGAGAAGTAGGCAGGTGAAGTAACTCTCGACAAGTTGGCATGAGAAGTTGGCAGGTGAAGTAACTCTCGACAAGTTGGCATGAGAAGTTGGCAGGTGAAGTAACTCTCGACAAGTTGGCATGAGAAGTTGGCAGGTGAAGTAACTCTTGACAAGTTGGCATGAGAAGTTGGCAGGTGAAGTTGGCAGCCGCTTTTAGAAGAAGAACCCTTCGCAATGCTTCCGGGAAAAACAACTGCAAAATAAAGAAATATGTTCAGATTGTGATGCATCTTTTAGTTGGTATCCAAAGGAAAATCACGAGGACGCCAACCATTTTAGGGGACCATTACTTTGAGAAACCCCAGTATTTCTTCAAAAAGCCAATATAAAAGTCTGATCTGAGACCCCAGGTTCAGCTGAGTATTGCCCAACCTCAGGTCCATCTGACATGCCTGGGACGGGAAGGCGTTGTTCATGGAGTTGTAGCACAAGTTGAAGGCGATGTTCACCTAGACATGAGCCACGGCCAATATGTGTTCGGAGGTCTCAAAAAATACGCACGCAGCAAAAAAATGGGAGGCACTGAAGGAAGCTCACATTATCAGCCTTCCAGTTGGTTGGTAGTTGGTGGCTTGGTTAGGACCAGTCCAAGCCCCTGCTACGAGCACAAACAAACCGAGAGATGAGCCAGGGTCAATATGCGGGTGCCCCCAATATATTCCAATATTGGAGTTGGGTGAGCTTGCGGTTGATCATGTTGCTCTCGCAAATCCCAAGCCCGTTTGTTGGGGGGCCGAACAAATCGGCACTGCCGAGTGACTCGAAGAATTGGAGCCCCCGGACCATGTCAGACGGAAGTTCCGCTTGATTTCCCTTCTCAAATGCTCAAGGGGTGGCCTCAAAGAAAGACACCTCCAACTGGATGACTGGGAATTGCGGGGTCCACAAGCAAGACGCTCTGACGCCCAAAGATCGGCGCCAAAGGATCCCTGGGTCTTGCGGGTCAAAGGTGCGTCATGGAACTCCTGGGGCAGTTTTGGTTTCCTCCGGCACACAAGGCACCGAAACAAATGGCGGGGAGCCTATGGTTCGTTTTGGCTTGTCTGACGGCGTGGCGCCACGATGATCATGGGGATGGCTGCGAAGAACTGCTTGGCGTCGTTGGATGTGAAGCTGGCCTTCTCCTCATTCAGCTCTCGGACCCAAGTGCAGCTCATGTTGGCCACCTCGAATCGAGAAAGTTTGGATCAGGGTTCAAATCGTTGCAGTCAGTGTTCAGTCTTCAGTCAGAAACCCCCACACGGCCGGACTGAAAGAGGACCTAAACATGCTTACTTGTCCGAAGTGCAGCACAACTCCTTTTTCCCAAACACGAACTAAGCTTCAGGCCACCAGGAAAATGCAGGCGCAGCTGCCCAGGCCCAACGCGGCGTTGTCCAGCAACGCGCTGCCTCCGCCCCCGCCGTGCAGCATCCGTGGGGGCGCCGAAGCCGGCGCCAGCTGAGAAGCGCAGGGGTCGACGAAGACTTCGGAGCTGGCGCTGTGAGAGGGGCTGGCCAGCAGCGTGGAAGCCAAAGTGCACAGGAAAAAGCCTTGGATCACCAGCCCTTGCTGCATTGCTATGCTAGCACACGAAACGAGTCTGCTTTTTGCAACCCCCTAGGAAAAATGAACAGAAGCAACAAAACAAAAGACCTAAAACATGCCAACTACAATCAGGATCTTGTTATTTTGATGTCTACCATTGGAGAAAACGATGCCGGAAAACTGGGACACTCAATCTGTCTTTTCGACCAAAAGGGCAAAGATTTCTCCAGATCTTCGCTCTTGCCCTACCACAATGACGATGCCAATTTGATTCCCAGGAGCAGGGCAAACACAGGAAGCCCAGCAAGGACATAATGGCACGCCACCCCCCGCCGTTCAGCACGGAGTGCATCTGGTACTTCACCAAGGCCTTCAAATTTGAGGGCCAACCCTGTAAAACCCAAGGCCTCCGCCGTTGAGCGCAGGCACTACACCTTGCCACTGGCTTTGTTACTGACAGCACCGCGTTGGTTCTAAAGAACAACCAAAGGGAAAACCACAATCCGTTTTGACAGTCCATCCGTAAAAACGACGAGCCACCCAATTGGGGCCAACCATTCATGGTGGTTTCGAGCCTTGACAGGCCCCAGGCCGCTACCGGCTTCGCGCTTGTACGACGACGTGAAGGCGACGAACAAAATCACCGCCAGGATCCTGGGACGTTTCTGGCTCTCCCGGACTTACATAGACCTCCAAGGCAAAATGGGTATGGGTCAAAACTAAACAAGGGCACCGCAGGGTTTAGTCCGTGTTTCCATTCCATTTTGGGTATATATATTTGACCCACACAGAAATGATGGAACCCCAAATGCGAACGAATTTTTAAAAAAATGAGCCATGTCTGGAGATGTCATTGGCGCTTGAAACTTGGGAACCTGACAAAATGGCTTGGAATTGATTCAGGCTCGGTCACCCCTTTTTCGGCTGGTCTTGGGAAGCTAAAAAGGAAGGACCTTGCTAGAGTGATTTTGATTGCATATGGATTAAAACATGTGGCACTCACTGCCTACTGTTGTTCAACCACAAGCTGCTCAAGAAACAAAATCATTAAAAAAAAAAACCAACTACTACCAACCATAACCTTAGACGTGTCATTGATTAGCACAAGGAACTTGCTTTTGAGAAGTTCCTCCACAACTACAAGTCAATGCCCTTTACCAAAAAGTACTCGTATATTCTGTTGACCAGATCACTCAGTGTAATACCGAAAACTATCTTGGGGTCTCCCCATTTTGACACATACCCATACACGTGGAGAACCTGCAATGCGTCCTTACCCTTTGGTTTGCCAGTTTGTCAAACCCCAGTGGAATCTGCCAAGGAGCTCATTTTGGCACCCCACTAGGCCTTATTATTCGACACTAGGTCACTAGGCACTATTGGCGTAGGACGTGAGGTCCTTCGTGTCTTTTGGAACCTTTGACCATAGGATACTTGCAGACGGTATCTTAGGCGAGTCTCGTCCATGAGTGTTGCTCTAATTTTTGTCCCCAGTGGCTAACTTGCCATGGCCGAACAGCGAAGGTTCCGAGCGGGTACTCCAAGGTGCTTTTTCGGCACTCCCTGCAAATGAGCGGAAGGAACCCTGCCTCCAAAAGGAGTTTCCTATGGCCGTTTCGGGATTCCATGTCAATCAATCCAGGAACTTCTTCCATAGGGGGCTTAACTTCTTGATTTTTGGCGGTCTGTACCATCCTCAACGTACTAGCAGGGAATGAGGCAATGAGGACATGAACCAACTAATCAAACCTATCTTCTCACTTTGCTCCCTGGCTGACACAGGATCCATGATTCATTTTTTCATGGGTCATTCCCTCACTCCCTGCCGAGAACCAGCAAGTGCTTGAATGTTCATCCAGATTAGTCAGGTACATTTAATCCAAGATTCACCTCAATTCACCAGCTGTGGTGATTGACCATGAAGGAAAACACCCTTTAGGAACGTTTAAAAACGGTTTGCCCCTATTAATCTTTACAAGGCAGGAACCGAACCCAGATATTCAGCCTCCAAATACCTTCTGTAGGAGGAATCATTCCCCCTAATTGGTGGTTGGGATTGGATGGATTTGGATTTCAACCCGTTTGGTCCAGACCACCGGTCACCGGGCTCCAAACCACTTGTTTTCTGGGGGAAGCTGAGTGAAGGGTGCCCTCCTGTGCCCTCCATCCACAAGAACCGTTCAAATCCACACCAACCGACACACCAATTGAGGGCTACGTCTATGTGCTTGCCTGCCTGCGGAAAAAAAAGAATAACAACAAAACAAAAACACGATTCACTAAATCATCTGAAACGCTGGAAGGAGGCCACCTGAAACGGTTTGCATCTCTGAAGAAGGTACCACTGCTTGGTGGTTTCGAAGTGAAAAAGGAAACCCGAAATCCATCCCCGAGCAGTGGATTCCCAAGCAGTGGAAACCCTTTTGGTGTGATCTGGTGGCTCAAGAAACCGGCACCAAGATGGCTTGCCCTGGGTGGCAACATGGACCAAAACCTGTGGTTGGCCCCTGTTGAATTTTGAGCCACACCCATTTTGACATCAAGTCCTTCTATTTTAGTACCCTCCCCCCAAAAAAGAAACGGTGAGAAAGGGCCCTTAGCTGGGGGACCTATTCTTAAGGTTGGCTGTGACCTATTCTTAAAGCCCCGGTTCCTATCCCAGGATTGGAGCCCCGCGCCCATGCGTATCGAGGGCGCATGCTGGCGGCCCCGGAGCCGTAGGCGAAGGAGTAGCCCTCCGCCTGCGAGACCACGCCCGGCAGCCCCGCCGTGGTGATGTTGGTGAGGAACCCGAAGGCCACGAGCACCCCCACGTTGATGGAGAGGTAGAAGAGCGAGAAGAAGGTCTTCTGACCTGCCCGGAAACGGGAAAAAACATACAGAGAACGGGAATTGTCCTGCCGAAAACAACGGAAAACGGAAAACATATATCTCTCAAAAAAAGGAAATTCGGAATACTTTTCTTTTGAGCAACCTATGAAACAAAAGGGACATCAGGACAACTAGTGCAAACACATCCATCCTGTGGGGGAATCAAAAAGAATCCATCTCCGTGTTCAATGCCCTTGTCCTAGAGGGTCAAACTCAAAAGCTATGTGCCACTCAGCACCCAGCGACACTCCCTTTGGCGCTCCGTGAGGTCTCCGATCTGATCCGCTCCGAAGTTGGCAATGTTTGGCCTGACAAGCCCAAAACCCAGCTTCTTCCCGCTCTTTACGGCCAAAAGCCGTTTGCTAAGTGCGGCTGTGCGGCTTGATGCCGCCTGTTCCAGCAGCAATGAGGACCAGAGATCCAAACATGAAAAGCCAACCCAGGGATTGCTGAAGATCATGGACCACGGCCAGGCCCACGCACACGGTGCCCACGGCATAAACGGATCCAGCCATGATGATGGTCTTATAACGACCAATGGAATCCGCCACCAGTCCACCTGGGATACACCAAAAGTAGCAAAGCATACTGAACACCTCAGCGCCGGGTCAATAAGCACAAGATTCGCTTTATGGGCAGCTTTTCTTGTTGATCCTTTAAAGGGAAGCTTCTGCACCTCGAAAAACAACAAGACAATCAACCAAAAATATGTTAAAGCGAAATCGACCGAACAAACCGGAGCACTTGTTGGTTGGTTGATGCTTTTGAGGGACCCCCCCCGCCCCCTCAGTTTGGCGCAGGGGGGACATTTGGGTGTGGCTCAAAATTAAACAGGAGGGGTTACGCAGGTGTTGGTCCATGTTTCCACTTAACAGGGTTCCATTTTGGTACCGGTTTTTTGAGCCACAGCCATTTGTCAATTCGCCGAGAAAGGGAAGCACAGCCCAGCGGCCCTGAGACTTGAATTTTAAGCCCATTGCATCTGGGCCACGGAATTCAGTGCTGCGGAGCTGGACGGAGCCTTGTCCAACTGGTTCTGAAGATAGGTCTTTTGCGTGCCAGCCAAAGTGTAGTAGGTGAGCCTCATGCGGTTTTTTTTTCAGTGGGAGGATACACCCAATGGCCTATAAACTGCTTTTGGGTTGCCTGCATTTGTGTGTTCAAACCTTCGGTGGGTCATGATCATGATTATCTTGCTAATCTTTGCATTGCTGAAAACACTAATGGGTGATGACCATCTCTACCCCCAGGTGCAAGTATAAAATAAACGGGGTGATTGGATCACGGCACCTATAGATCACACTCAACCCCTCAAGTGTTTCTGAAATTGGCTTAAACAACAATCCTGGTGGCTTATTTTGCACAAATATGCTCCCAATCTCGCCGCCACCCCTCCTCTCGAGGACAAACAAACTGTAACAACCACTAGCCATATTTTTGCAGAACCAAAAGCAGTGCTTAAGAACCATGGCTTAAACCATCGCCGGGTCGCCTCTCGCATAGCTCCACCAACAGAATGATCCCCACTGGCAGCTTCCGGATTTTCAGCTCGCTGGGCACTGAGGATGCGGTGCTCTCGGAATCCTCGCAACAGATCGATCCGACGACGATATGAACAAATGGACCTGTTGGCCGGTCCAAAGGTAAAAGCCACGTTTCAAACTGGTTGGGGTTTTGGAACATAAAACGGGTCCTCAAGTGGACCTTAGCACACTTGAGTGAATGGGAAAAAACTGTTTGTCTATGCCTAAAATCGTCTTCCCAAAAAGAACAAAGTCTAGGGACTTAGAAAGTGAGTTAGGCAACCATGCAAGTTAAGTCTGGAGTCGGTGTCCGTGAAGAGGACAGGTTGCCCAGACATGGCGTGAGCGAGCGCTCGCTGAGAATCGGAGCGGAGACCTATCTTGAGGAAAAAACTGCAAGTTGTGGGTCGTCAAGACAAGGAGACCCCTTGGGGGTGTCTTGGTTTAGGTTGGACCGCGAAAAAAAACACACTTTCCTTTTGGTTTCCCTTTGACACCAACCAACAAGGGTGCCCTCAAAACAAGACACCCATTTTGGATTCCTGCTAGTTTCCCAATCATGGAAAAAGGCCCTAAGTGCCCCTGCTTTCCCGGCTGTTCTAACGCAATTCGACAGCCCTTGCAAGGCGACACTCACAACAGGAAATCCCTGCAATGTTGGCAGATGCATGGGTGGCTCGTCTTTTTTGAGGGTACCCTTTTTGTTGTGGTTTTTAAGGGAAAAAGAGAAAGCCAGGGTCCCCCCCCAAAAAAACACCCACATGGAGCTGGGGACTTTGTGGGCTGAGGCTGTCTCTTGATCTTCTTGCGGCACACCGGGCACGGCTTCTTGGCCAGGCCTCAGACACACGTTCCAAAGAGGGATACTAATCAACCCGATTGGGTCAACCTTTCCAAGATAATCTGGCCATTTGTCAAAATCCAAATCGTACCCCCCAGTGAACGTCCCAATCCTCACTAAAGTAGGTTCTAAAATGGGTGCACCTAGCCCAAAACGGCATTGGTTTTGACCCACGGCCATATGTCTTATTGGCTCTCAGACCCGAGGCTTGAGGCTCTACAAGGAGGTCCCTGGGGTAGCTGACAATTCCGATAGCCCCCTGCGATCAGCTCTTGGCAACATACGGAGGAAGTAGGACGACATACGGCCATGTGGGCCCTGTGCCTAGTTTTCCATGAAGACCATGGCTAAATCAAGCCATAAAACAAGAGTATGTAGCAAGGGTGCAAGAGTTCACGCACTCAGTCCTGTGACCATGCCGTTAGAATCTGCATACATGAGATCTCATCTATGCACATTGTGTTCCTCAGGACCGTTGGGACAGCAGCAGCGCCTCAAAGGAGCAGGGCCCAAAACTCAGAAGGCGAATGGGCTGAGGTGACCCAAACCTGGCCTGGAGAAACAATACAACTCGCAACCGTTTTTGGGAGGGAAACATAGGTAAACATATACTCCTAAAGAAACAGGAGCACCACGAGAGACCGTGATGGAAACGTTCGGACAGGTTTGTTGCAAGTCAGATGTTCCTATTTCTAGAGAGCTGGTGCATCAGCCTGGGGTCTCAAGATGAGGGGGCTACTCCCATCGGGTTGGCTTCAGTTGGGCTTCCTTCCGGAACCAACCAACACGGAACCCACCAAAAGACAAAATAGGGGGCACGCCAACCAAAAAGCGCGAGCAAACCAGACCAAACCAACCAATAGGGCCGGTCCAACCCCAAACAAGCACGGAACCCGCAACAAGGCAACACTCCAACCAAAAAGACCCCAAACAAACCGAGCCAAGTCTGAAAGCTAGTAAGCCATTGGATTTTTGGTGATAACCCACTTCTCTTCCCCCATTCAGTGGAGTTCACCCTGTGAGTGGGTTCTCTCAAGTCCACCACTGGCATGGCCAAACATTCAAGACTCCCCTATCTCAAATATAAATGAATCAACAAATCAATTAATAGCCAAACAAACAAATTAATAAACAAACAAACACATTATCAAACAAACAAATCAACGAGACCCCCAGCAAGTCCGAGCCAAATTGTTTCAAGCACCCGAACTCTGGGCCGAACTCCACTGGGCCAGCGGGCGTGCTCCACAAGCCTGGCACGTGGCCAGGTGCCCGCACGGCACAAAGGCCATCTCCGCGGGCGCGTCCATGCCTCAGACGGATCAGACGCTTTGACCGGTCTGTGGCCAGTGCCCGGAGCGGTCTTCCATTTGGGAGCTGTCTTTTTGTTTGAGGCAGCCTTAGGGTTGATATATTTCCCGGACTTTTTGAGTTGGTCCTTGTCTTAAAGGAATATTTCCCCAAACAGTGTGTCTACACTAAGGGGTTCTTACGGTAAGAGAAAAGGCCTTGGTGCCAGATTGAGGTGCCCGCTCTGGCCGCGAGCGTTTTGCGTGGTATTTACCGCAGATTCGTGCTCTTGCTTGATGTCGAAGTGCGTTTTGACTGCGCAGGCTCGCACAAAGTGAGTTGGCGACTTCTGGCCGCGAGCGTTTTGCGTGGTATTTACCGCAGATTCGTGCTCTTGCTTGATGTCGAAGTGCGTTTTGACTGCGCAGGCTCGCACAAAGTGAGTTGGCGACTTCTGTCCGCGAGCGTTTTGCGTGGTATTTACCGCAGATTCGTGCTTTTGCTTGATGTTGAAATGCGTTTCGATTGCGCAAGCTCGCACAAAGTGAGTTGGCGACTTCTGTCCGCGAGCGTTTCGCGTGGTATGTGCCGCGGATTCGTGCTCTTGCTTGATGTTGAAGCGTTTCGACTGCGCAGGCTCGCACAAACTCGATGTTTTTTGCTTTTTTGGCGGCTCCGGGGACCGTGGGGGTTTTGTCTCGTGGTCCGACGGCACGGGTTTCCGGCGAAAGGTCCCGGGCTCGATTCCCGCCCTGTCCGCGCGAGCTTGTTTCCATTTCTTTGGGCATGCTTGGATGGTGCTTCTGTGCTGCGACGGCGTCTCGATGGTACTCTGAACAACAACACCCAAAAACAGCAACAGCAACAGCAACAGCGCCACAATCGAGAACAAAGGAAGAAGCTACCTAGCTAGCTAACTCACTAACTCAGGCACTCTGGTGAAACAAACACACAGATCTTGCCTTTTGTAGTGATGCTTACCCACACACACACGCACACACACACACACAAACACACGCACACACGACCATGGCGCTGGCTTCGACACGTGTCTGCTGCATTCTCTTGCGCGTGTCTGTTCCAGGCCGTGTCCTTGTCTTTGTGAATGTGCGCGCAAATACCGCAAAATGATGTTGCAGCTTCCTGACAACAACCGCCGTTTTGCGGCGCAGCCCGCACAATACTCTGCAGCGTGTGACCGCCGCCTATCACTGTGTGGGGTCTCGTGCCGGGGTAATTATTAGTTTGCTTTTAGTTCGTCCTGGACCTTATGAGTTATGAATAGTTATGGTCTGCCTTATGATTTTAGTCAGGATTAGTCAGTCTAAAGGGAATAAGAGGAATAATTGTCTTCTTTTCTTTTAGTCAGTCCTGGATCTGAGTTTTGATCTGCCTTATGACTTTTTCGGGCCTTTTGGCGGACAAAACGCATCTGTAGCATTGGTTTTCTTGGGTTTTAAGGCAAAATCACAAATATATTAAACAAATCGTCCTTTGGTGGCCCTGTCCCCAGCCAAATGGGCCATAGACTGCAGATGTTGACCAAACCGCAAATGTCTCGCTTGCGTCTAAGAAACCAGCAAACCAGGAAATTGTACTTCATTGTTTTTAGCCGGTGTTGGGCAACTACCAATCCTGCAGCTGGTTCTAGGATTGAAGGAAGGAGAGGGGCCTGCTGTGAAAAACAACAGGTTCACATAGTTCATAGGGAAGGCTTCAGAAAAAATCGATGAACATTTTGTTCCCTGCCCAACAAATTGGAGTCTCCCCAGTTGAATTTGGGGCCCTGTGGTGGACACAATTTAAGGGGGCATGTCCACCCGCCACTTTTGCGGGGGTTCCCATCAAGTTTGAAAGCACAAATCTTCGCAGTCGGTACGGCAGGCATCTGGTTTTCCACTATGTACTCGTGATTGGGACCTGCTGAGTTTTGTTTCCCTGGACTGTTCCTACATGGGCATCTACGTCCCCATGTAGATGTACGCGACAGTGGCCCACCTTAGCCCCGCATTTTCGTTGGGAGGGGCGTTGTGGGAGCCTGCACCGGGTGTCGCCAAATGGCTTCTGCTTGGGACCCTCGACATGGTTGCAGATAAATCCCCATTCTTAGCTGGTGCGAAAGGGTTGCCAAGACACATGTCACATATATATATATGACATATATGACATATACGACATATATACACATATATACACATGTACACGGGCCCTGTTTGGCTTCCCTTAGCAACAAATAAAGACGAGGGAGATCGAAACCCAGAGAGGCGGACAGGAAAATGCACGACTGTGCAACGTGTGTTTTTTGAGGGTACCCTTTTCAGTTTGGCTTAAAAGGAAGCCACACAATTGAAGGAAAACAACTTTTCTTGGGGGGGGGGGAAGGAACAACACATACTTTGACACATACCCAGGCAGCAAAGATCAAACTGGGAAGCCAAGAAAAGGTGCTTGCAGACCTAACCAAGTGGTTCAATGGAAAAGGCAGCAGAGGCCTTCTCCCACCTGCGATCTTTTTCTTGAATCCGGTGTCACAAGGCCGACTCTAGGGCCCCAAAGAAGCCAATTCGCACAAACCTTTGCTTGTCTTCGACAACTGCGCTTCACCTTGGACCGCCGTATCTGTACAGGCAACCTGCACGCACCCAGTCCGAGGATAAGATTGCAATCAAAGTGTCCTGCAGGCTAACATGGAGCCTTTACAGATTAACCATACCATTTGGGTAGTGTTTTTTTGTTGGTGCTCGGGGCCTATACACTGCACACATGCCTACGCGAGCGCCTACGCAACGCCTCCGCGACTGCAAGGGGTGCCTACGCGCGCACGTTTGTCTCTTGTCGCGCCAACGCGGACGCCTACGCAAGAAAATGCGCGCCGCTTTTTTCCAGCTCGAGCTTTGCAATGCCAAGTCAATCGTTGTCTGACACAGATGCAGATGATGTAGAAGAAGCAGATGCTGTGGACGTTGGATTTTCCAGGGATCCCCTTTGTCGTGGCTCTGAGTCAGCATTTGAGCAGCGTTTTTTTGGTGGTTCGGGGCCTATACACTACTTGCGCGCCTACGCGAAGGCCTACGCAAGCCTACGCGGCCTGCGAGGGGCGCCTACGCGATCACAAGTCAGCTTCCAGGCGCCCACTTACGCGGGCAAACGTTGAGTTCAAGAGTCGAAGTGCGCTGTGGCAGCTCCAGCTGGAAAATCGCAACTTTTCAGTGCAAGTGAAATTTTGGCAGCTCCGGCTCTAAGATCAGAAATGCAGTGCAAGTGAGAATCCAACATCTGTCCAAGGATCTGGCTGCTAGAAAAGGTCTACGCACCCAAAATGAGTTGAAAGCCTACGCGAATGCCTACGCGGGGCCTACGCGGAGCCTACGCGAAGACTGCAGAACAAACCCATGCCCATCCATACGCATTGTAAAACATAAAGCTTCAGACAATACATAACAACTCCATCAAGTGCCTACGCGCGCGCCTACGCAAGAAAAAATACAAGGATGTGCGCGAAATGCCTACGCGATGCCTCCGCGCGCCTACGCCCCCCAGCTAAATTGCCTACGCGGACATGATGCAGTTCCCTTTTTGTATAAATCCTTGATTCCAAGAAAAAAACGCTGCCCATTTGTGCTGGGACCAGATCTAGCCCAGTGATCTAGCTCATCAAGCTTCTATCTCTGTTTTGGGATCGGAGTTCAAATTCTCCCCTGCAAATTAATTAGCATGAACCCCCGAACACCTGTCATTTGTCATGTTGGAGATATCTCCGTTTGGGGAACCCTGCAAGTACTGTCTCCCCTGAGATGAGCAGCACAGAAACCAACCCGATTGTTTGCTACGAACACGGTCCGCCCAAGAAGGATTTTACGGGTCGGGCCCCATTCTCTTCACACTGCTCAGAAACCGCGCACGCGTTTTAGGCCATGCGAGGCAAAAAGCAGATCCGAACGGAGAGGGTACGGCTAATGAGTGGAGCTCGGGAAGTGGGACCCTCAAACTAAGTCGTGAGCCATATTGCCCCAAATCTGGGGGACAAGTCTTGGTTGACGTAGGAGAGCAACAATTTCCGACTAAATCACAATACGCAAAAATGTAAAATGTTTCCCAACAACAATGAAGTTTAAGTCCCAGGTTGAGGGCCCAGCTCCCAAGGCGCTCAGAGAATCCGGCAGTTACAGCTGGGCTTGTCTTCAGGCGGCAGCCCCAGCGCGACACGGCACTTCTGGATCTCCGCCTTGTACTCCTGGTGGATGGCCGCCTCCTGAAGCTCTAAAAGAACCCATCTGTTTCTCATGGGCTTTGAATTGGCTTCGGTTTCCCTTTGGGCTTGAATTTAATACCAACCAAACATAGGCCCCCGAGAAAGGGGGGAAAAAGAGGCCCCCGAAAAGGGGGGGAAAAGAAACAGGAATAATTACACCATAACACGCCTCAACTTTTGCCCCAGCCAAAAGCGATATGAGTGCGTCATTTGTTGAGGTTCCCTTTTTAGTGGTTGTAGAGGGCAACCAAAGGGAAACCCCCGAATTCAAATAAAGACAAGCCCGTATCCGCAAATTGGGCCATATATCTTCTGAATCTCAAAATGTGGGTCGCCCTTTTGTGGGAGCCCCTCAAAATGGCTGTTCTCCTTTTGCTTTTCCTTCAACCAATCCCAAACGGCGGCGAGCCTCAAAAAGCGCGAGCCACACATGTAGAAGCTCAAAGAAGCGATCCTCGGACCTTTGGATATAGGAAACTACCGGAAAAAAGCCGTTTCAGGCGTGTTCTCAGCGGACTCCCCGATTTCTTCTTGAGTTCACCTGTTGTGAGGTGGGTGAAATAAACCCAAGTAGTGGAGCGTCACCCGTTTCAGGCTTCCCAGTCGTGGTTGGAGATAAGCCCAAATATCATCTGCCTAAGTCTCCCTTTCAGCTTCGATGTGCTCCGAGCGTCACTTTGACACAAATTAGTCCGCAAAAAAGAAGAAGAACCAGACCCCGTTGCAACCCTTCCTTCACTCCAACCCCACATTTTGGAAGCATGAAACACAAACAAACAAAACCCCCACCCACCATCCCCACCTCCGCCCCACCCCAAGCCACCCCTCCCCATGTCCTGGGTGTCCCTCCGCCTCACCGCCTCGAACTCCCGCGCCTGGCGCCGCAGGAAGCGTAGCGCCCCGTAGCCCAGGGCCGCCACCACCGCCGCGCACAGCGCCGCGGCCAGGCCGCAGCCCAGCATAACGCAGGGCACGGACAGCGCCACCGAGAGAACCCCCGCCACGTCCTGAGATCTAAGGAGTGGGGAGGGGAGGGGGCCTTTTTTTGTTGCGACGTCCTGAAAAGATCCAAGGGCCGTGTTTTGAGTGACATAACACAGGACATGGAGAAAGACAAGGTAGACGCAAAGCGCAAAGCCAGGTTGTCGCTGAATGCGCTGTCCCCGAATGGGGGAGGGGGTGATCAACCCCTGGGTCTGTAACTCCCCGCGAAGAAAAAAACAACATTTGTGGGTGTGACTTTTTGAGGGGTAACGCCTTTTTATCTTAGTTGAGAGCGAAACCAAAAGGAAAACCACAACTCGTTGGATCCCCTATTTTGACACGTACCCGCATGTGCCACAGTCAGAGCTCTTGCGGGCAAGTACAGGGGTGTTTTTTGGCTTGATGGCTTGTGGTCAACTACACGTGCTCCCCCAGGCGGACATGGGACATTTAGCGAGCTCGCCGTAGACGTTTTGAGACACCCACATCCCAGGCCAAGTGGGTCCAACCCATGGTTGGATTCGCCCACTTGGCCAATGCCTGAACCATTGTCTAAACAACAACTCCCCTTTTTGGGCCGTTAAAGGCGGCCATTTTGGTTGGTTTAAACAAATCCTGCAGCCCGATTCCTGAAAACCAGAGCAAGCAACCCAGGGAACCAGCCTAACTCAAAAACCAAAGTACCCAACTTTGGGCCTGGCCCAAATCTCCCTATGTGAATCGGCGGTTCCCTGCCTGCCATTTTCGCAGCGCCCAGCTGCCTGCGGCCCGGTGCCACACCAGCGCAGCTCCCCCCAGCAGCGCGAATCGCGCCCCCGGGCCGCGGCCCCAGCGCCGCTGCCAGGCGTAGCGCTGCAGCAAACCCGGCGGCGCCAGGTACAGCAAGACGTAGAAGAAGCGGCAGGAAAACCTCCGGGGTTTTCCCATTGCCCATGGCGATCGAATTGCTTGTTCTTGTTCTTCTTGTGTTTTTTGTTTTGTTTTTCCCGGCAAAGGGAAGGCATGACTCGAGTCCAAATGGGAAGGGACTTTGATTAATGGGTGCCTTTTCCATTCCCATTTGCTGATTCCATTTGCAGGCTATTGGCAGGCCCCTGATTTGGGTGTGCCTTCCTTCTTTGAGGGTTAACATTTTTCAGTGTGGTTTACAGAGAAACCGAAAGGAAGCAAACCGACTCTTTGCGGGGTTCCCATATATCGAAACACACCCATTTCATTTCCCATTGAAAACCACCAACAAGAGTTTGCCATTTTTGACGTGGTCCTATTTTGAGACAATCCCCCATTGCCCTTTGCAACCTCTAGGTGGCAAAACAAGCGTGTCCTTCGGGAAGTTGCGGTTTTTGCGCTTGGTTTCTGGCTACTTTGAAGCCCGAAGTGGATCCCCAAAGCAGGCCGGCCGAGCTCAGCTGACGAAAGAGGCTGGCAGTCTGGGCCTGTAGGCCACCACTGTGACACCCCTCGCAGCTCGCAAGGAGACGTACATGAAGGCGATCCGCAACACGCAAGCGACGGCTCCGCCCCACAGAACGAAGGCTAAGCACCGCCGCCTTTTGATCACTGATTCCTTGGTTCGCGGAATGGCAGAAAATGACCCTAGACATAAATCTCGAAACATCAAGTCTCAGTCATAGCGATGCCCGAGTGAAACCGAGATGCCCATTCTTGTTGGCAGGCCTGAGTTCTGGCCAGCATCTCTGCCTGCAGTTCCTGCATGCGTCCCTTCAGGGCCTGCTTCCTCCTGAAGGCCACTTCGCTCTGCCAGCGCTGGGACACCTGCTTCCGAGCCAGCCCAATCTCCTTCTGCTGGAAGAAGTTTCGGCCACTCCGGTTGCGAGCCTAGGCCGAGCTGGTCAACTTTTAGAAATGGGACGTCAAGGAAACTCCAAATGGCAAAAAGTTCGGAAGTTGAGCCACAGAAGTGACCACTTGTTGTTGGTTGAAAGAACAATTGAAGGACAAGCAAACAAAAAGACAAAAGGCTGGCTAGCCCAGCTTCCAAACGCCCACTTCTTCTGGTGACTATGCTTGTTCAGGGGTTGAAGGATCACACCCCCACAAACAGTTGGTATTGGGCGTAGGGGGAATTCTGGCAGTTCAAAGGAAGCTGTCAGCTTCCCTCTACTTGGTGGCTTGGATTGGTTGATATTGGTTGGTTTGGTGGTTCGCGGGCAGAGGGTACATGGGCAAAAACCAGCGGTTCAAATCCAAACCCAAACCACCAATCCAATCACCAGTTAGTAAGTACCTGAAGTTGAAAGGCTACATGAAGACAAGGCAGCCAAAAACCAAAAACAAAACATGCAGGAACCTCCCAAACCCAAAAAGGCAACCGCTGTGTGTCTTATTTTGGGGCTCGTTCACAGCGCAATTAAAGAGCCACCACCAATTTGGGGGTTCCCGTATTCGCAAACAAACCAACCTTGTGAACAAAACAAATGCACCTGAGTCACAATCAAAACCCGGTACAAGAATGGTCGACCCAGAACCATGTAAAGAACTAAGAAGGGCGGATATACGCAGCGATTTATGGCAAGGCGATCGTCCCTAACCTTCACTTACAATCGGTTTTGATTTTGGCTCACCTGGCTTCCGTGTCATGTGTCGCCTCTCCGAATCTCTCTGCCACGTGGCCCCCGCCGTCGCCCGTTCGCTGGGCCGCCAAGGCGAGGTCCAGAAGTCGGCCTGCAGCATGGCCTGCCACACCGGCTCCGCCTCGCAGGCCTCGTGGATGCTGCGATCCACTTTGGTGAGGCGCCCCACCTCGGGCGTGGAAAGGAGGGTTGAGGGGGTCTGGGGGAGTGGGGGGAGTATGTTTTCATATGTTTCCTTTTTTCTTAGGGATTTAGATTGTCTCTTTTTCTGTCACAAGTCCATTGGCAGAGCAATCTTGTTTTGGGCATTGGACCCCCCTTCTTAGGGGAGTAACCCTTTCTGTGATGCCAAGGCGGTTGATTCCCATGAAGTTTTATCACCGAAACGAGATGGGAGTTCCATCTCACAGAAACCGGCAACCCAACACCTCATTTCTTGTTGTATCAACATAGGGGCACCCCAGAATGGTTGGTTTCCCGCCACCATGTTGGTTTCTGTTGGTTTCCCGCCACCATATCAACCTTTCTGTTGGTTTCCCGCCACCATGTTGCCCCAGCGCCCTGCCTCGCCGGGGCTGCAGAAGGTGATGCACAGCCCAAAGACATCCCGCCGCAGACCGAGGCTCAAGGGCGAATTTCTGACCTGCAGGCGGAGACCTGCAGGCGATTCCATGCTCTGGAAATCAGAGGTCGCCTGAGACCTGAAGGGAACCTTGAACCAAATCAGGGAAACCAAAAGGTTAATAAGTCCAAACCCGAAAATAAGGTCCCCGAGTAAAGGAATCTTTCTGGTGCGCCCATTTTAGCCCCGGGTTTCGTGAGCTCGCCATAGCCAAATTGTTGAACCAACCTCCATTGGGTTCCCTTAGAAAAACCACAGAGTCTTCTTTCTTCCAAAGCTTTGCCCAAGCACCTTTGCTTAAGACCCCAGTATGCACCGGGGGGGATGGCACCACATCACGGCTTCGCTTGCTGCTGGAGCCGCTGCTGGAGCCGCCGCTAGATGCGGCGCCCATTGCCTCGAGCCTTGAGCTTTGAGCCAATCGGCATCCTTGCATCGCCCCCAACCCCAGTTTCACGTGGCTCCACACAAGACCCCTCTTGCAAATCTGGGGGTGGCCCGCCAAAACGGGCAAATCCCCGTGAAAAACACCACAAACACTAGCAATTCACTTGGCACGCCAGGTTGGCGTTCTGCTACATTGAACGGTCAATTTGAAGTGCAAAAAGCTCTCTGCATTTTGCCATCGAGCCAAAGAGCAACCAAGCCATGTGGGAAAGTGGTCGCCCTTTGCCGTGACACCGATTCTGCGGAATTCCCTGTCAGTCCCAAAGTTCTGCTTTCCGTGGTCGCACTGGGAACTGGGGGCACTGAGCCCCGAGCAGACAACGCACTCGGCTCGCTCCGGGGCCACCTGACCCGCCAGGATGGCTGTGGGTCAAAACCAATGGGATCTTATTTTGGTTGGTAGGTGAATTCACGACCCATTTTAGAACCTATGTTAGTGGTTGGATTTGGATGTTCACTGGGGGTACGGGATTTTGACCCACAGCCATGTGGGTGTGTCCGGGTTTTAGGGGAGGTGGTTTTCCTTTCAAAAACTACACAAATTTCGGATCTTGGGACCTGCTTACGAGCCGGATCATGGCTGTTGTGTTCCAGGGTGTTCCCCGTTAGAACTCAGCGCCCACTATACACTACTGGTGCGACCGGTCACGGAGTCACGGACCCGCCTGCATTCCGCTTCTGGAAGATGCATCCCTGTCCCCATCGCTCACGGCCACGATCTGGGCAGCGCCGTCTGGCGCCTCAGTCTATCGTTGCGGTACCCATTTACTAAACAAGTGTCAACATTGCTTGCTCCTTGGCTCCAGAATCTGTGACCCAAAGGCGGAGCCAAACTGATCCAACAGCCAGCCACGCACCCCGCCTGCACCCCGCTTCCGGAAGATGCATCCCTCGCGTCATCGCTCGCGGCGATTTCGGCGCTGGCCGGCGGTGCCTCTGGAAACTCCGCCGCTCAGTGATGCTCCCCAGAAATAGAATGACCTAGCAACCTAGAAAACCCGGCTGTCCAAAAAAGGGTCCCTCCAAAATGGGCGGTTTCAAACCAACCAAAGACACTCTCCAAAAACGTCCACCGGGACGTCTTTTCCCCGCCTCGGCCTCTCGGAAAGCGTCGGCTTCGGAACCTCCTGCTTCGGCCGTCGTTGGCGCCTCTGGCTCCGGGGCCGTCGCGGGCGTCGCCACGGGCGCGGGCGCGACGGGCAGAAGCTTGTCTTCGGCCAGCGAGAAGCGCTCGCCGTCCAGCAGGACCTGCGCGCAGGACTTTTGAAGGGCGTGTCTTGTCTTTGAAAGTACCCTTTTGTGTTTTCAAAAGAAGACCAAAAGGAAAACCACAGTTGTAGGGGTCCCCCCTAAAAGCGGCACAGCCCAGTACCAGTTGCACTCAAGTACCAGTTGCGCTCAATGCGAGCGGCGTGCGCGGAGAAGGGCACTTAATCGGATGTCCTCTTTGATTTGCACGAACATCCCAAGCCTTCCACCTGCCCGCATTGCCAGCATCCTTCTCCTCAAGAGTGCCCACCATACCGTTGAGCTCCGGATGCGAAGTGATACCTTCCACCTTCACGGTCATCCCAGCCTGGGTTGGGGCGATGCAACCCCGCCGAATCATTATTGAACCGCTGAAACAAACCGCCAGTCTTGGGCCAAGCCCATGTTCAAATCGCCATTCTTTCAAGGCCCTCCATTCTGGTGTCCCTTGCAAGGAGGCCGGATCGGATCCGTTTCGTCATGTTTGCCTGCCCGACTGAGCCGGCCTGCAGCGATTCCTGTGAGGCTGCGACTTCTTTGGCCTCTACCTCATCTAGCCACCCTGAGAGCAAAAACTCCGCAAACTCCTCCTCATCTCCGAAGCTTTGACTCGGCGGCGTTGGACTCGTTTGAACCTCAAAGAAAGAATTCACCTCCACCTGCGAAGCGAGGCCCCCGAACAACAGGACGTCTTCAAACGGCTGTCTCCTTTTTGAAATGTCCGCTACAACCAGGACGTCACCTTCGCGAATCAAAAGAAGATTCGTATAGGGTGGTCTCACTGCTACTGGGTTTTTTTTCTTCAGCACTCTTTTTTGAAGGTTCCCCTTTCGGATGGCGTTTCGGATAGATGTGAGCTAATAACCCTACTGCCCAACTGGAAATAAGGAATCATCAAGTCAGGGACTCGTCATAGTGAGCCTGTTCAAATTTGCCCGGTTGTTTTTCTGTCCCGTTTACGACAACACCAAACCATGTTCATTTGGTTCAAAGAGGGTACCCTCCAACAAAAACACACACACACACACACAACCATGTGCGTGTGTCTTTTGTTTGGGAATGCCTTTTGGTTACAATTTGTAGGGAGACCCCAACAAATTGGCGCCCACCCCCAGACCCCGCTATGAACCCCGCCTCAGGAAACTCGAAGCCCAAGGCCTGCAGTCGGCCCATCAGCGCCCGGCTGGCCACAGCTCCAGACTTCAGGTCCCACATCTTGCGGCCTTGATCGAAGATGGCGCCCCCCGGCACCTGACGAGGCACATCTTCTCTGCCGCCCCAAGTGGTTCTTGGGATATGTTCCAAGGGGGAACCCATGGTAAACCGATGATGGCAGCAAACACGACTTGGATGATGACACTCAGGTAAACGATCGTGATCATATTCACCCAGTGGGTCGAGCCCCAGAAAAAGCGCTGCGGATTCCCATAAGGTCAAACATCCTCACAATTACCTTCCTGGAGGTTTTAAGGCGGTTCCCGCTCCCAGCCATTTTGCGGGAATCCTTCAGAACCCAGTCTTTCCACAACCCACTCCTCGGGTTCCATCTCTCAACACCCCCCCCAGCGTTTTTCCTCTGCGTTCCATGCAGCCACTTGGGACCCAGTTGACAGGGCTACTGTCCTTTTGGAGCATCACTTTGAACGGCCCAAAAGGCGATACTTAACACCACTCCAAGGCGAAAATCTTGGGATTTCTTATAACCCCTGACTTTTTCAACCGTGTCTTTCCCCGAAAGCATGGCGAAGGGTTCTTCCGCTGGGTTCACTTGAGTTGTTCTCATGAGAGTCATTACAAGGTGTCATTGCAAGGAATCAGCATCATGAAAGTCATTGCAAGGAGTCATTGCAAGGAATCATCATCATGAAAGTCATTGCAAGGAGTCATTGCAAGGAATCATCATCATGAAGTCATTGCAAGGAGTCATTGCAAGGAGTCATTGCAAGGAGTCATTGCAAGGAGTCATTGCAAGGAGTCATTGCAAGGAGTCATTGCAAGGAGTCATTGCAAGGAGTCATTGCAAGGAGTCATGGCAAGGAGTCATTGCAAGGAGTCATTGCAAGGAGTCATTGCAAGGAGTCATTGCAAGGAGTCATTGCAAGGAGTCATTGCAAGGAGTCATGGCAAGGAGTCATTGCAAGGAGTCATGCAAGGAGTCATTGCAAGGAGTCATTGCAAGGAGTCATTGCAAGGAGTCATTGCAAGGAGTCATTGCAAGGAGTCATTGCAAGGAGTCATTGCAAGGAGTCATTGCAAGGAAGGAGTCATTGCAAGGAGTCATTGCAAGGAGTTATTGCAAGGAGTTGCAAGGCAAGGAGTCATTGCAAGGAGTCATTGCAAGGAGTCATTGCAAGGAGTCATTGCAAGGAGTCATTGCAAGGAGTCATGCAAGGAGTCATTGCAAGGAGTCATTGCAAGGAGTCATTACAAGGAGTCATTGCAAGGAGTCATTGCAAGGAGTCATTGCAAGGAGTCATGGCAAGGATTGCAACTTGCACTTGACTCCTTGCAATTGCAACTTGCACTTGACTCCATGCACTTGCAACTTGCACTTGACTCCATGCACTTGCAACTTGCACTTGACTCCATGCATTTGGCTCCTTGCACTTGGCTCCTTGCACTTGCAACTTGCACTTAACTCCGTGCACTTGCGACTTGAACTTGACTCCATGCACTGGCTCCTTGCAACTTGCAATGGCTCTCATGACTCCTTGCAATGACTCCTTGCAATGACTCCTTGCAAGGACTCCTTGCAATGACTCCTTGCAATGACTCCTTGCAATGACTCCTTGCCATGACTCCTTGCAATGACTCCTTGCAATGACTCCTTGCAATGACTCCTTGAAACAAGCAAGGAGTCAAGTGCAAGTTGCTAGTGCAAGGAGTCAAGTGCAATTGACTTGCGAGGAGTTAAAATCTCTTCTTAGGGCGGCGGGGTAGTGCCGACGACACTACACGAAAATCGACCCTCTGCGGGGATCGGCGTGGTCGAGGTGCAAAAACCAATGGTTTTTTGCGATTTCTAAAGTTCCCGCGCGACCCTCTGAGGGGATCGGCGTGGTCGAGGTGCAAAAACCCATGGTTTTTTGCGATTTCTGCGGTGCTCGCGCGACCCTCTGCGGGGATCGGCGTGGTCGAGGTGCAAAAACTCATGGTTTTTTTGCGATTTCTAACATGCTCGCGCGACCCTCTGCGGGGATCGGCGTGGTCGAGGTGCAAAAACCAATGTTTTTTTTTGCGATTTCTGCGGTGCTCGCGCGACCCTCTGCGGGGATCGGCGCGGTCGAGGTGCAAAAAACCATGGTTTTTTTTGCGATTTCTGCGGTGCTCGCGCGACCCTCTGCGGGGATCGGCGTGGTCGAGGTGCAAAAACCCATGGTTTTTTTGCGATTTCTGCGGTGCCCGCGCAACCCTCTGCGGGGATCTGTGTGGTCGAGGTGCAAAAACTCGAGGCTTTTTGCGACTTTTGTTGTTCGAACTGGTCCTCGGGAGTTGTCTCGTGGTTCGCGCGCCTGCTCCCGGAACCGGCGGGTCGCGGGTTCGATTCCTCAAGTTGCACAGAGCAACTTGCGCAGACCAACTTGCACCGACCAGTTTGCGCAGAGCGCCTTGCCTAGAGCAACTTGCGCAGAGCAACTTGCGCAGAGCAACTTACGCAGAGCAACTTGCACAGAGCAACTTGCACAGAGCACCCTGCCTTTGCTGTCTCGCGCTTGCTTCACGAATGCTTCGTGTAGGGAAAAAGAACGCATCCTGCAGCGTTGGGCCGACCTCGCTTGCGATGTTCTGCTTTCGGGCCAACCGTGGTCTAGTTTTTGGGAGGGAGAAGGAAAACCGCTAGGGGGTCACCTAGCAAAAAGGAAACATGGAAGCACCCACATGAATCAGAATTGATTGGCACTCACGTTTCTGCTCGTAAGCAGGTCCCAAGACCCGAAATTTGGAGCACGCCTGCTTCACCGCCTGCAGCATGGCCTGGAACATGCCGCGCCGGCTCTGTCGCACCGCCTGGGCTTGTTTGTACCCCACCCCCTCAGGGTGCAACCGATTCTCAGTGAAATCACAGCCTGGGGATCCCCATCTTGATGAAACTGAGGTTAAGAATGCTGGTTACATGAATGCGCCATTGTCTTGGCTCAAGGGGACCTGGATGTGCTAAAGCAAACAGAACGCAACCTGGGGGGTTGGAGTGTTTCGTGGGTGTTTGGGGATGTACGCAACTTCCCTGGGTATGGGTTTGGGGTAGCGGAAGCAGTCTCAGAATAATCCCTGAGTTCCACCGATTCCCATTCAAATAATTGCAAGGACCCAATTCCTCCCGGGTGAAAAGACGGTGGTGTTGGGTATAATCCTCCCTGTTTTTGAAACCCCAGGGAATCCTTTTGAACATGTTTCGGTGGAAATGCGAATGACAAGTGGACATGAGCGTACTTGGCAGCTGTTGATGCCGGCAAACTAGCAAGGAAGCTTCATACACAACGCTCAAAACGTTGTACATGGTTTGAGTGTTGCCACTAACCCACAATCCACCAACCCAAGAGATGTAGTAGAATATGTAACCGCTCGACAATATAGCCTCTGTCTGAGCAATACGTATACCCTTTTCCTAGAGACTAGTTGCGCAGGCCCTCAAGCTGCCCAGAAGAAATTGGACATAGCTCGGTCTCCCAATTTGGAGGAGAACGCACCCGTCAGCTTGTTTGACGTTCTTGGGCTGGGCCCACCATGTTTTGGCTGGCGGAAAATCCACGCCTTTCCAAGAGAGCAAATCACATGAAAGCTACGTACAAGAAGAAGCGGAGTTGGGATACCGAGGTGGTGTGGACAATTTGTGTCAACAATCAAACCTGCGTTCCCTCTCGAGTGTTTTATCTTTTGAGGGAAGCCCAGGGGATGGTTCAAACTATAGCTGTTGAAACAACACGTTGCTTAAATCACTAGACCTATGCTAAGGGATTGTTCGAACGACGGCAGACTAAACAACAAAATTGGGGGGGAAGCCGCGAATCATTGTGGGTTTTTACCCTTTGGACATTCTACCAAGCTGGTTTGCACTTGGTTTGGGGGCGCCCTGGGCCCACCCCCCCCCCCCCGAGCCTCATCGGTGCTCCACTCCGTGCTCAGCTCCACCAGGTGCTTCCCATCCTTCCGCCGCAGCTGGAAGCGCGCCCAAGGCGCAGCGGGCGGCGGCCGCGCGCAGAGGATCATGGCGAGGCATCGGAGAACCGAACCCTAAGGCCCGGCCGTGTGGTTTGCGTGCCCTGTTGGATTGCTTGAAAGGGGCAGGACACAGAAATGTTTTTTAAACATAAAATAAAAATCGGGATCACCTGGTGAGGGCTGGGGCTTGGAGTTGGGGTTTGGCATTTAAGGTGCAGTAGTGCCCGATTGAACAAAAATTGAGGTGTAGCGCAAAAAACTAATCTCAAAATGTGTGTGTGTGTGTTTCCCCTACAACTGCGACACATGATTGTGTGTATTGCATGAAGTGCGTGGGATGTAGTGGTGCGTGTTTGAGGGTAGGTTTTTTAGGCTTCAAGCGAAGCCAACAAGGAAAGCCATCATGTTGTGTCCCGGCCCCCCTAGTTTGGCACATATAGCCCAAAGGCTTGAGTGAATTTGGCAACCGCGTTACATAAATGTGGTTTTCATGAAGCCACAAACATGCTTAGTTGCAATAAACTCCACGCATGTTGTTTGAGCAAAGAAACGCTCGGTGTGGGATCACAATTGCCCCAAATGAGGCTTCCAGTAAAGGTTGGACCAAAGGAATTCGGCTCTCACTTAAGCCCTAAGTGTTTAATCAACATTTTTCTTGGTTGCCATTAACGCAGGTCATGCTCCGGTTAAACGCTATTGCCCAAGCCTGGTTCTTGCTTCAAACGCCCTGCCGTTCCCCCCGTAAAAAAAGAAATGCAGATGGGATTGCCGTGGGATCACCATGTGCTGCGGGCCAGAAAACGCTTCGGTTTGGTGTTTACCTCTGGGCAGTGCCGCGTGTGCCTCAAAATGACGCGGCCCCGACTAGGTGGTATCTCTTGGTTCCCACTTAAACGTCTCGAAAATGCAACACATCGTCGACATGATGCTGCTTCTTTCACAGAAGGGTGGGTCTTGTTGCGCCGATCGAATCATCCGCGAGGGGTGGGCACCAATGTGCGCAGGAGCCGCGATCCCGTCAAAGATGGGGAGGTCCTGCGGCGAGCACTGCTCAGCAATTGAGGTCTGAAAACCAAAACGGACGTGGAAGAGACCCAAACAAAATAGGTAGGGCTAAGACTGTGATCCCATGACATGAGGTGTTGGGCGGGGACCCAAGCTTCAGGACTTTGGTGCAAGGACCTTGGTGGAGCTTATTTGGATCAATGGGTATACCTTTCGGTGGACATGGTGGACATAAACAAACATATTGTATTAAAAATTAGACTCACCAACGATTTCGATCGTATCGGCACCCTTTGATGTGCTCGAGTGGACCTGTCTGCAATGGCTGAAACCAGGTTATGTTCTACCAGTCGGCAGTTCCCAAAGGATCCGATCGGCAAGCCACAATTTCAGGTATGCCGGACATTTGCCGTTCTTTACCTCCAGATTTTACGGGGTATACGGACTTGCCCAACGGATCCTCGGCGCGTCGGTCGGATCTTTCCAGAAACATCGATTTCTATGAAACGAAGGTTGCCGCCTAGGGGCCACCTGGAACTCGGAAACCTGCGGCGTTTCGCCGCGCACACGCTGACGCGCTGCTGTTGGCAGCCTTCAAGAAGCCCGCGACATCACACCGGTCGCTGTAAGCGGAGAAGGAATGGCATGGGGCGTGGTGTTTCACTTTTCCTCCCGAAGGAGCCAGGAAATCATGGCACGGCTCACTCAATCGTCCGGGTCCTGGCGAGCAAACCACGTAGAAAGTCCGTCTGTGAATAACCCCCAAAGGGACAATGCTGATCGTGGACAAAGACGTGTTGATTTTTCAGGAGGGTCCTAATCTAGAGGAGGTTCCGGATGACTTTGAACCCAAGAGGAGATTGCAAATTATGACTGGTTGGGTTACACACGGGCATTACCTTTTAATCAACCAGCAACCAATGTTGAGGTAGTCAGCTAGAACAAAATCAAAGCCACATTTATCTGCAACGAAGCATCGGATGCTGCACAAGATTGCGAGGTGCTCATCAAGCGTGGTGGAGGTGCCGTAGGCTTCCATCTACTCGTAAGTCTGAGCACGCGACTGCACATGCTCACATGTCTCATGTGTCAAAGCTAGGAACCCCGTGTTCATGTTTAGCCAACTGATTGGAGTTCCCCTCCCAACAAAACAAGTCTAAGGAACTTGAAAGAGGGTTCTTGCTAGAGGAGAACTCTCCAAAGGTTTGTTCTCAAGGCAACTGATTTCAGTTCTTTCTTCCCCACACCTCACGACTTCACCAGGCTCCCGGCTGAGGGTACTGGCTTGCAATAGTTGATCAAGCACCTGGCAAGTCGGAGAACAAAACGGCAAGTTCCGCATAGCTGTAGTCTCGCTTCTGGGTCCCTACTTGAGCGTCTCTTTCTTAGGGGACCCCCCAAAATGGTTGTTTTATTTTGGGTTTGTCTTAAAACGACTAAAAGGAGGGGGGTGCCCTCAAAAAAGGCGTGATGGATTTCGACCCCCGTCCCATTCCGTCCTCCACTTGGACCCTCTGCGAACCGGCCTCCATCAAAATCTCGCGAGAAGAAACGATGCCCTGGCAGGCAACGGTCGAGCTGCGCAACGCTCACAGGGCGGGGGGGGACCCATATGTCCCCTTTGAACACCACACCAAAAGGAAGAAATGGGGAGGTGATGCTTGAAACATCTTAAAACCACGCAAAAGGGGACATATAGGACTGGCTCAAGTCACATGGCGCACCACAATTCGAGCAATCTCGTGAGAGCTCAGAAAGATGCGCTGCAGCCTCGCAAGGAGCTTCAGCCAATCGGATTGGTCAGCCGGCAAGAGATGGGTTCGTCATTTTTTAGGGACTCCCCATTTTGGTTAATTTCAAAGGGAAGCCAAAGGAAACCAACAATTTAAGGTTTCCCCCATTTTGAGACAAGCCCAGATGCAGTCGGCTTCCGAAGTCGAGGTCCGCACTTTGATGCAAGCAAACGTTTGGCGAGCACGTGCAGCGTCTCGTGATGGTCAACAGAAACCACCTGAGTCAAATGGCGGATCAGCCAAAGCAGTGTTTTTCGGGGTCCTGGAAGATCAAGGTCAACCAACTCTTCAGCCGCCGGCGTTGAATCGGCGCAGACTCCGTTGGCGCACCAACTTGGCCGAGTCGACTGCCACGACCTGTCTCCGGAGGCAGCTTTTTCTCATGGAACGCCTACATGGAATGGGCCTGTCTCAAAATAAGGGATGGACCCTCTTTCTTCGACTCTGTTTTTGTGCCAAACGGCAAGGCAAGCAGGTCAAAACGCTTGCTGGTCCCTGGTCCAACTGTGTTGGTACAGTTGGCTGTGGCTCAAAAAACCGGTACCAAAACGGAACCTGGTAAGTGGAAACATGGACCAAAACCTGCCGTTTGCCCCTCCTGTTTAATTTGAGCCACAGCCAGTTGAGCACAGGTCGAACCTTGGCAACCTTGACACGGGACTGGGTGTCGGGCGTTGTTTCTCCAGGCCAGGAAATCATCTATGCTGAATTCAAGCACGTGATACCTGGTGCAAAACTGGTCGAAAGTGACATCCAAAACGTTCTTATGGCGGTTTAAGAGAGAACCACTCGTTTCCAACAAGAACAGTTTGGGGAAACTCAGATTCTCAAAACATATCCCCCCGCCCACCTCTCCACCCCTCCCCCCAAGAAAAAAGGAAACAAAGAAATGTGCGAAAACCTCAACATGCCTTGCCACTTCAAGCAATGCCTGAGAGACACTCACCCCCCCCTTTGCCAGAGGGGTCCTCAGAACCCGTAGAACCCCCTGCTGGTTTTAGAGAACCACCGGGAGTGGCTCCGATCGTCGGGCACTGCTCCGTCTCCAGGACCTCGAACTGGCTTCGGAATCCGCACGGAACTCAGGAGATTTGGGGGAGGTTGTGCTCTCTTCTTGACAAGAAGCGCAGGGAGAGGGTGTGCGTGTGTGTCTGTGGGACGAGGATTTTCCGCAATTGAGAGAACGCATCCGAAAAAAAGGGCCAGAGTTTTGAGCAACCCCGGGGATTCGGATCCTCTCCCCCAAAAGCTGCACCACCCGAATCTCAAACGCGGGGTTGTCAATGCCTGGGGTGCAACTTATGCTCAAACATTCTTGCACAAAGCTGTTTCCACGGTGCATGCTATAGCCCACGGTCAAATCCCGATGGAGGTAGTGCTTCTTTTTGCAGCCCCCAACAAATAATCTTAGTGGGCACTTCAAAAGAGATCTGAAAAGGGGGATTGCCCAGGTGCCGTTTGATTGATCGGGGCCCACTCTCTCGCCGTTTGGGCTCAAAATATCTAACCAGTCACAATGACCTTCGAGCTTTCCTTGAACACTCCGTTCCCCTAAAGTAGTTGGCTTGCTGTTCAACATTTGAACAACATACCATTTTGTACAGTACGCCGGGCCCTTTAAAACTCCTGATGTGGCCGATTGGGTCATGGTTCCATCCTTGTTTGGTGGATGACCCTCCCAACGTCCACGCCAAGTAAAGCCCCAAGTAAAGGCGCTGGGTCTTTTGATGGCACATCTCTCGAGAGAAGCGCTTCAACGCGGGCGAAAGTCCCGCGGTTCGAGTTCCGCGCCAGCTTCAGATCGGCCACAGCCACCACGCCCACGGCAACGGCGCCGCCCATGTCCCCCGACAGCTCTTTCGAACTGGCAGGACCTCGAAAACGCATCGAAGCCGATGCAAAGCAGAGCTTCCCGGGATTTCCGAAATGAAACAAAGGTGTTGAACGAAGGGCTGGGCACCTCTTGGCGGCTTGGATTGGTGGGGACGGCTGGCTTAGAGGGAGAATTGTCAGACCATAAAGAAGCTCTCGATTTCTTGCTGGGCGATTGGGTCCACAACTTACTCTGGTCAAACCAAAGAGCAAGCAACGCTTGTGGAAAATGGCTGCAGAAAATGGACACTAGCACCTCACCCGATTTTTAGCAACCATGGAGAGTCTCCAAAATCGTACTAGGAATCAACAAAAACTGCCTTTCTCGTATACTCAAAAGGCAAATTCACATGAACATCGTCTCCAAAAGGGATCCCTCGTGGATCGGCTCGGCTTAGCTTTGCAGGTGGCTGGCTGCCAAATACTCAGGTTTGATTTCAACTTGGGCGTGTCAGAATCGGTCAGATCCACAACATGTTGCGGTTGCTGTTCCATTTTGGGTTCCAATTTTCGCAAGGATAGCGAGCCGTACAAATGCGCACCCACGCCGCGCGCCAACTTAGGGCCCCACAAATCGTCAACTTTTCGGCATCCATGATCCGTAGAGCGTGCAACACGGTCTGGTCATGAGGCACCGACAGCGCCTGAACCCGGCTCAAGTCACTGACTTTTCGGCTTGGCAAAGACATGCAGAGACTCGCAGATTCTTTTTTGGTATCAAATTCGGGTTGTAGCCCAACGTCTGTCCGGAACTTCGCCAACTCTGGTGGAACCCGTGATAGGCACGCCCAACTTACAAGTGGCACTGCTTCTTGGCGTGACTTGCAAAGTGCACGCTCAACTTGAACACTTCGCAAACGACGAGTACTTCAACCATGGTATCAACGACGTTTGTGGGATTTACGCAGCACGATGTCAAAGAACCAAAAGGGCACGCATCCGCACCTGTGGACAGGAGACTGTTCCCTAACCTGCACCTACCCATTCGCTTTGATCACATTACATGACATGTAAGCCACAATCGAAGCATCCGTCCGGTCTTTGAACTTTGGTCTCATCCGTGTTTCCATTGATCATGGATGCACTGCAAGAACAGGTTAAGGGAGGCCCCCCAAAAACAAACCGTTTGGGGACCCATTCAGACACCGACCCCATCGAAGACCGTTGGGCGTTTATGGGCCCAACAGCTCGGCTCGAAAAAACAAGCGGGGTCCGCAGCTTTGGCCCACGTCCCTTTGGACGAACCTCATGTCGCCTGAAGGACGGCATTGCGCCGGTCAAAGGTGCTCGCCTCCTGGCGAAGAACACAGCGTCGCCACAAGGGCGTGGCTGTTGGAGTGGCAAAGTTGGGTGAGGGCCAAACAAATCGAAAGAGCCAACACCTAGCACAAAAAAAAAACACCGGTTTGGCGGGGTCGTTTTTGCACCTAGGATTGCGATCTGCCTTTGGGGGCCTGGCCCCAAGAATGTTTGAGCCCGAAGACGACACACAACTTGAGTGCACCAGAAGCTGTATCCCTAAGGCCAACCAACTCGACTTTCGTGAACTCTGTCCCTCGACTTCAGCACGGCCGTCGGGGTGTCGAAGCCTGGGCCATGGCCGCCACATTTTACCAGCGGATTGGTCAAGTCTGAACAGGGCTGTGGGGAATGACCACTTTTGTGATACAACAGAAAGGGCTTCCCAAAGACTATTTTCTTCATATAAAGGGGGATTCCCTTGTATCACAGAAGTGGAGCGAAACCCCTTGATCCCACAACCCTGCAGTCTGAACGCTTCTTCCAAATAGTCCAACAGACTGACTCAAGTTCAGGAACCTAGGGAGTGAGCAAGAGGGCGAGTAAACCATCAGGTAAGCGGCGCCTGTGCCTATGGTTACAACCCACAAAAAAACAAAAGTTACAGCCACGGCAAGCGGGGTATGACCACGTTTACCAACCACCAAGCTTTAATTAAAGTACCCCCGAAGCACCCGTGTCTTGGGCTTTTGCTTTGGCCTCCGTTGATCAAGCGGATAGACTTTAAGTTTAGGAAGCGCACATCCCTTTTCCACGTCACCTAAGCAACGGTCAGTAAGTGTGTATTCTGCGATAAACGGCGGTGAAAAAAACTCATGCTTGCTCAATTCCATGTGAGTCGAAACGTCAAAACTCTGAACCAAGGGCCACAGTAAGCAGGTCCTTTGATCACAGTAGGTATAGTTACCAACAAAGGGGCCGCCCCCGCCAACATAGCAGGGCCCCAGTTACCCTTGTTCACACGATCATGGAAGTGCGCAGATAAACCTTAATCTCAAAGCGGTCTCCTGTCTTGACGCATGAGTCACAATCAACACCTAGCATAAACGACGTCTATGGCACAAACAAGCCAAAGTGGCTTGTCAGCCCAAACCTATTCATGGTGTTCATGCTTGGAGTGTGTCCCTTACAACTCAAATGACATGCTGAGCCCAGGACGCAGAGCGAGGTCTAGGAAGTCAATGCAGGAGAAGACCCGTGTCAGCTCGCCTAAGAAGATTCGGATCGGAGATCCCCCGGGTTGGGAGGAAGCCAAGGGGAAGGGAACTTGTCCATGGCAAGCCGCATCCAGTTTGGAGAGCCCGGATGGAAGATACCCGAACCTTCTCCAAAGGAAGCAAACCCAATTTGCGCCATGGTCAAAACTCGTGAACGGTCCATGCCCGAAATCTGTGACACCATGGACCATCCTTATGACCACTTTGTCACTTCTGGGATTTTTTTGGTATCATGCACGTGGCCCTAAACCCAACTTCCCGCAGCCGTGCCCAAGAACACAGGCCTGCTACTCTCAGCTTCCCCCCAATTAGTGGTGGTTTGGAGGGGAAGGGTCCCATTTACCCTCTACAAGATCCAGTTCAAATTCCCAAACCACCAGGGCCAGATGCACGCCACATCAGCTCCCAAGACTCGAATCCCAATGTCCCAGGACCCGGCCAGCAGCGTCCACCAACGGCACACGATGCACCTCTCATTTCAACGCGCGCGGAGCTCGAGTCGAACTCCGCGCGCCTTCCGATGAGCCTCTGTTTTTGATGGCTATGCCCAAGGAGACCTGAAACAAGTTGGAGCCCGTCTTATTCCAAAGGGACACCTAAGGAAACCAGGCATTCACATGCATTCAGGCTGGTCCATTTGGTCTCTGTGAAGAAACTTCAAACAAAGAATGCTCGAGGCTGAAATAGACCATCCCACCCGCACTCAAACAGAACGAGACAAAGCCGCTCAGTTGGAAGTCCACCCAACTTTGACACATTGTCGCTGGATTTCCCCTTAAGTGCAGTTGACTGGTGGGTTCCAACAAAATTGCCAATTTTGGAGGTCCAACAAAGGGGAATGGAGGGACCCCTGACTACAGTGTGTGTGTGTGTGTGTCAAGAATAGGCGGACCCCAAATGCAACCAAGCGGGAACCTTGCAAAAAGAGCAATCCGAGTCCCCAAGGGACGCGCTTCAAATTGCACGTCTGGATGCTACCCAAAGCTTCTTCAAATATGCAAAGTAGCGGGGAAAAAACCCAAAACGATCCAAGCATAATTATTCCAGTCATAGTCTTCGCTTCTTGCATCTGATGCGTTTCGCATGCGTTTCGTGACAACTCGATGCTTGAGGCCGCTGCGGGGGCTTCGCCTTCGCCGAGCCTCGGTCGCTCGCCCGCTTCTGGGCGAGGTGGTACGGAGTTCTGATCCCGACAGCTTCTTCGGGGGTGACTCTAACCCCCAGTGCGAGAAAGTGAACCTTGGGCGTGTGGGGACGGGGATGTCGTGACAAAGTATGCAAGAAATTGAACCTTGGGTGCGTGGGACGGGGATGTCGTGACGAAGTCACCATCGAACCAATCTTATTCTCAGTGATACTCATATGTGTCTGCTGGTCTGCTTGGCCCGGGACAGTTGCAGCACCTTGCTGAGGGGCGTCATCACCGAGGTAGGCCTCGCATTCCGGAAACATTCGTGGGCATGGCGCGGCAGTAAATGCCCTACCTTCTCAACTGAAAGTTCCATATCCCAAACAAACCCAAACAAACCCATGGGCATGCAATCTGAAGACTCACCTGGAATGGCTCCAACTGAGGTCAGTGCACAAAAGTGGAGTACCCGGAGCAGTTGGCTAAAGCCTCGGCGGAGAGAGCGGATAGGATGCTCAACCCACTGAATAGGTTGTAACCATGGCTTGTAGGGAGCACATAGTCTAAACGGATTGCATGGCAGTTTTTCTGATCCACCCTTTGAAACTTAAAGAAGTACCTTCAAGAGCACCAAAAAGAGGGTGAAATCATGTCCAAATCCACAAAGGTCGCATCCAAACCGTTGTCTAGGAGGTACCCCCCGCCCTCACCATGGCTGTCACCCTGGTTTCTCATCGGGCTAGGGCGGCAGCCCCTACCTTCATGCGGCCAATCTCCTTGACGGATGCATCGACGTGTCCGCCTGCAGCAAAAGGTTGGGTCCAGGCCGACTTGGAGAAGTGCACATCACGAAGAAATCATAGAAACCAGCTACAGGAAATTGTGGCTGGAAACTGGCCAAGCGGCCATCAAAATGGATATGCTATCAAATTTGCAGTGGCTGGCTTCTTGGAATGAAGCATACGTAAGGATGCCTAAATGTCCACCAAAGAGGCCCCAAGTCAATTTCATATCAATTGAGATCCCGCCAAACAAGAAGGGGAACACCGGGGCCAGAGTTGCCACGTTTGGCTTGAGGCGCTTGCGGCATCTCTTCACCTCAGCCATGGAGTGCTGCCAAGGAAATCTCCAGGAGCGAGTCACAATTAAAACTTGGGATAGGGGCTACAAGGCGAAATCCGCATCTTGTTAATCTCCCTTGCCTTTCTTCGTGAATTGCACACTGGCCATCTGGTGACAAAATGATGCAGGGCAAACAATAGTGGAACTATAAAAACCCAACCATTGTCTTGGTGTGAACCCTAGGGTTTTGGCTTTGGGTTGGTGGGAAGCTTAAAGGCCTTGTGCGGTGTTCCTTCTCATCCCAAAGTGGGATGGAACCCCCACTAACATGTATCAAACACATTCGAATCGAAATCAACCAGGGCTTCTAGACCCAAGGTCAGCGTTGTGTCACCCCTCGATCCCCATGAGATCCGTTCTCGATCCGCTCATCAGATCTGTGAGGTGCCGGCGATCTCGTGGCAGAGGTCCATGTAGTCGAAGAACTCTCGGCGACCTCCAGCAGCCGAAACGATTTGCCGGGAGTAACATTGATCTCCGTCTTTACGGCTCAGGAACAAATGGGCCACCCTGCATTCCTCACGGAAGGAGCCCCCAACAGGGGCTCTCTCCAAGAAAAATCCGAGCTTGAGCGAGAAAGCAAGAAAGGGGTTCCGCTGAAAAAGCAGAGAGGTCGCCTCACATGATGTTTTTTTTCAGGCACTTGGGCTGGCCCCTGGGTTTGTGTCGGGTTCTTCTCTAAAACAGACCACAAACACGGTGCCATTTCTGGCAGATCCCTTGCAAGTCCTGGGGAGGAGACCGCTCCGGAACTGCACCACCACCTGAAGCCGCGACAAGAAAGCCGGAAAAACCGGGGGGGGGGGGGGGAGGAAAAACAAACGCTGCAGTGCTTCCAGATACCCCACCGGGTAGCCAGGAGAAACCATCCATGGTAAACCCATAGCTTAAGAAACAGCCATAGGATTACATAGGTGCCTGCAAGCACTGAGCTTTTTATTGTCGGTCGGCCTTCTACTAGCGTCTACCCCACCCCCCGCTTTGCTTGTGGGTGTGGGTGGTTTTGGGGGGGGGGAAGTGGCACGCGGGATCAACTGATGCAGCTGCAATCCGAGTGAGCTGCCCAGCGCAAGTGATTCACGTTCATGCTGTGCACCACTTTGGATACCTTGCATGCTCAAACCCTCTCGACAAATGGGCGCAATGCACAGGCGGCTTTCACGGAAAACCCAAAACGACAGCGCAAGCTGGGGCAAAGGCAGAGTCATCCTCCAGAAACACCATGTCCTTCCGAGATGTGATGGGATTGTTGAATTGGAGGACGTGCAATCCGGGAGGATTCTGAATCTGCCACTTGGGGCCACTTGGAGCCACTCCAAGTGGCTGTGCCACTTGAAGTGGCCGTGCCACTTGGAGTGGCTCCAAGTGGCGCCAAGTGGCTCCAAGTGGCTCCAAGTGGCTCCAAGTGGCAGTCCCACTTAAAGTGTCTGGAGATCTGGCTGGGTTCTCACTATGTCTGAGACTGGCTATGTGGCATCACAAAATGGCTTAATCGATGTGGCTTATCTGCAGCATGTGCATGTTGGGCAGCCCTGCCCACGGCAAGGCTGTAGCAGCGGGCAGCCAGGCATTCATTGCTTCATGGCATCTGCTTGTTGCAACAAACACACCACGGGGTAGTCACGGCATGGAGCAACATGCAACCACTAGGTGGAAGGCTCTGCGTCTCTCTCCTACTGAATTTCATAAACCGTTTTTGTTTTGGCTGATGCGTGGCGTGCACGCGCAGTAGATAAGGAGGAAAAATGGTTAAACAGAGAAATAGACAGGAAAAGTTGAATTCTATTTTGCAGACTCCGATACAATATATACGCTATCACGTACACAAGCGGATGTCTTACCTCTCCTGCAGCGCTAGCTTTCTTCATTCTGCCTCCAGCTGGCCCAATTGTTTTGGGTGACGCAAAGTTTACCGAAATCCGAGATGTTTCGCACCGCAAGACACAAACCTACGGCTCAGTCTACCTTGGAAATGGGAAACCTGAAAAAACTGAGTTTTTGCGGAATGTCCAAAAACTCGTTTTTTTTTGTTTATTCGCGGCGTGCACGCACAGTAGGTCATGAGCAAACAGTCGAACAGACAAACGGGCAGGAAAAGTTGAATTCTACTTGCAGACTCCGACACAATGTGTACTTTATCACGCACACAAGTGGATGTCTTACGTGTCCTGCAGCGCAAGCCTTCTTCATTGAGCCTCCGTCTGGCCCAATTGTTTTCGGTGACGCAGAGTTAGCCGAACTCCGAGATGTTTTGCGCTGCTAGATACAGACCTACAGCTTAGTCTACCATGGAAATGGGAAAACCGAAAAAAACCGAGTCTTTGCTGAATGTCAAAAAACTTGGTTTTTTTGTTTTATTCGCGGCGTGCACGCGCAGTAGGTAATGAGCAAACAGTCGAACAGAGAAACAGGCTGGAAAAGTTGAATTGTATTTGCAGACGCCGATACAATATATATATATATATATCTCCCATCAGGCACTCCAGCTGACGTTTTACCTTGCCGTCTCACATCGCGGTGGCAATAGCATCCCGTCACGCACCGGCGCAAACAGCGCCAGCAGCTAACCCACCGCTGCCGCACCAGGCAGCGTACAGGGAAAGCCTCGCGGACAGAGCACTGATACTTCTTCCATCAAAAAATGTGCACAGCACTGCCCCTTCCGCTCGAGCACGCCATGTACACGAGTATTAAAAAAACTGCAGACACTGGCAAACATGTGTGCATGCCGCAACATGACATGTGAAAAACGCTCACGCAGGCACAAACACCCTCACATGTGACTTCACTCGGACCGCAACTCTGTTTGACACTGCCAACACCAGGATCTTCGAAGTCATCAAATTCACCAGGGGGAGCGCCATTCTCCCCCAAATTCCAATGTACGCTCATAGTTCCCAGTGTGTTGTTAGGTGCAGATGCAACGGACGGTTTGTTACAACAAGGTGGTGCAGTGCCAAGTCCATCCCGGTAACCCGCGAACGGGTGCACGCCGGGAGGCCCGCACACCCTCTCGCAAGAAAACCCTTCCCGGTAGTCCGCGAACGGGTGTACGCTGGGAGGCCCGCACACCCTCTCGCAAGAAAACCCCTCCCGGTAGTCCGCGAACGGGTGTACGCCGGGAGGCCCGCACACCCTCTCGCAAGAAAACCTCTCCTGAATGAAATCTTGCTCAGCAGGTAACAAAACTATTGGGTAGGCAAAGGGGTCACCAGTTGCCCAAAAAGCTTCCGCGCGAAGGCCCTTGCTATATCTCATGACCTCCAAACGCTGCAGACTCCGACGCTTGAGACACTTCGCGCTTCTTTTATCGAGGCAGCGCTGACGTTTGCGCGGTTAAAAAAAACGACCATGACTTCACCTCACCCCTGACGGCAGGAAAGCGGTCTGTCAAGCCGTTGTCGTGGCAATAGAAAAACTTGGCCAGCCAGCGTCCTGGCAAAAGCCGCCTGCAGGATCTGAGCCCCCAGAATCTGATCCGGTGATGTTAGACGTCTTGTGGCAATATCCAAAGAAGACAACAAACGATACCCATGGAAACAAACGTCAACCAGGAAGCAAGAGAGCCTAACAGCTCGGCGAAAGCACCAAGCACGCTAGGTCTTCGCAACCTGTCTGACGAGCAGCTAACAATTACCCCAAACAACTTCCGGCTTGGGCAAAACTTCGACTTGAAACCTTGATCACTGTTTGCAACGCCACGCGCCTGCGACAGGGTCAGAAGACGTCTACCGCGCCAGGCTCAGGCCCCAAGATGTTACCAGCAAGATCTGGCCCCGTGATTTAGACATCTTGCAGCAGTAAGTCAAACTGTCAACTAACCCAAACTGCTCCGCGGCAACAAACGTCAATCAGGAAGCAAGAGGGCCTAACAGCTCGGCGAAAGCACCAAGCACGCTGGGTCTCTGCAACCTGGCTTCATATGCAGAAGGATGGATGGCACCTGTACCTGTAATTAGCTGTCATCCAAGAACAAACGTGGACCACCGCGATTCCAACAGCAGTTAGGCTATTGTGTGGAAGCGCTCGGGGCAAAAAACAAACGGAAATAATATATGGTTTTGTTTTTTTTATATGAGAACTCCTTTTTGGTTGATTTTAAGGGGAAACCAACAGGAAAACCACCATTTTGGGGGTACCCCAATTAGAGACATACCCATATGGCAAACGTCGGCACGAAAGTACTCTGTTGTCCGTCGCAGGGCATCGTTTGCGCGACAGCCTCTGAATTCAGGAAATGAGAGGACTGCTATGGCGTGTGCCATTCGACTTGATAATATGTGCTGCCTGACAAGTGTCCAAGAGGAGGCGCTGTTCGCCGCGGCAGCGCAAGTCAAAACTGATTCTACGCATCACCCAGCGATAGGGACAAGACACTTGGCTTTAGAGGACACTGCCAGGTGTACGCACGAGACCTCAGCTTGCTACGTACTAGTCACCAAGACCACTCTCAGCGGACATCCGCAAACTGCGCATCGTCATCATGCCGGAAAGGATCAAAAAGGTCGTGCAATCCGATGGCTTCGCTGAGCTCACTGTCATGAAGGGCTCGCGCCAGCAAGGTGCAGGTTGACAACTTGCTTTGGATTTCAGCATCTCGCTCTGCTATACCGAGCAGGGCATCAAGACTGAAATGCTGGTAGTTCCACTTGGCGAAGCTCAACTGTGCCAAGACGAACCACCAAGCTGGCGACATTTGCCGGACCTGAGGTGCAATGTAGTTCAGCAAGGCCGCCCAGTAGCGTTCCACGCAGACAGTGCCGCTTTGTACTGCTATCCCAGCTCGCAATGTCTGTATCGCCATGTCTCGCCAGTGCATGAAGCTCTCCACTCGAACCGGCCGCCGAAGTCGTCGGAGGTGTGCCCGGACCTTCTTGCTCAGGACGCCCGTCTTGCCGGGGATGATGCGCTGCTGACGCTCCCGTAGAACCTGTCGCCTTCGCAGCAGCGTGGATCTCTTTCTGTGTCGATACCACCGCAGGATCCTGCGCACTTCTGCGACAAAGTCCGTGGCGTCGCGCACATTGTAGTTGCCCTCAGTGTCGTGGATTTTTACCCCAAATCGCCCGCACAGCCGTGCCAAGGTTTGACGGGGCGGCGAACTCCCGAAGATGCCGAGCCAGCTCTGTGCACGAGAAGCGTACGCCTGCCCAAGGAAATCTCGCATGTCCTTCTTTTCCTGATCCGAAGCGCTGCTGGCATCAAGATCGAAGCGTCTGTTCCGCACAGCTTCTTGCAAGAGAGGCTGAAGATCCTGAGGCTGACGCGCGACCATTCAAATGCTGATTTTCCGGTATTTCCCTTCCTGTCCCTTGATATGATCAGACATGTGCAATGTCCTAGGATTTGGGAATGAAGACACAGTCAAAGAAGTGTAGGCCTGTGGAATCAGCATGCAACCTCTCTAGTTCGCTGCATTGAGGCAAGCTCAATTCATGGGATGTGACAAAAGCAGGCCTGAGCTCAGATGTCAGCATGAAATGCTAATCGCATGCCGACCAGTACCTTGGCAAACGAGAGTCCCCGCCCCCCCTTTGCTGTCCTGTCGCAACTCTTGGAAGACGTGATCGGCCGGACAGGTCGGATGCGGCGAGGGTGGCAAGCTGAGCCTCTCCATAAGGTTCCTGTGATCCGCAACAAATGTTGGACCGTCGCTGCTGGTTGGAGGCACCAGTCGGCCCAGCGCCAGCACTTCATGCTGGGGATCTCCCGTTATCCTTGGCCCAAAGATAACTGAGCAACACACGCAGCTCACGTGACCAAAGCAGACACGACCCAAATGATACCGAAGCTGCATGCTGAGGTTCCTGGTGGGATCACGGTCGGGGCCGGGCGCCACAGAGTACGCATCTCCACGAGCTGTGCTTGACACGCTCTGCACACCAGTGCTGTATTTCCGCCTCCAGAAACTCCGCAGGAGCTTGCGATGTTTCGCGTAAGTGTCAGTTGAATGATACACGGGCGGGATCTCATGCTGCGCGAGCCCGGCTGCTTCTCTGTTCGCTCGCCTTACACTGCGTGGCACGCAGCATACTAAAGAAAGCACAAGCAGGCAAAACTTGTAACCTGGCGAGCGGCATCTGGTCTGCTAACTTCTCCAAATCTGGTCGAATGTAGGCCCAAGATTCGACGGGCATGAGTTCGCACGGCTTCAGGAGGCACCCGTCGACGCCACACCAGCCGTAGATGACAGCAGTGGCAGGGCGAGCTCCTGGGCAATGCTTTTTACGCGCACTACCTCGACTACCCTTCCGACAGAAACCTTCACTCTTACAGCTTGGGCGGGCCATTGCATCCCTTATACCCGCAGGGTCCAGTGGGGTGGCTTTATCCACGAGCTGGCCTTTGATGCGAGCAGCTATCTTGAAGTTGCCGTCGCCTTTGACGGCGCTTCCAGAGTACACGTGGGCAGACTTCTGGATCTCTTCGACAAGGCCTGGCAAGTACGACATCAACGCTTGCCGCAGGACCCCGCGCAAAGCCCGCAATCTCGGCAGACAAGATAGCACACCAAGCTGCTGCTGAGCAGTGGCAAGATCCAGGGAGTTCGAAGCGTATAAGTCGAGCAGGTAGCGTTTCACAGCGGCTGCAGTTGGCACCTCAGCAAATTTTTGCACCGCCTGCACCAGCAAGCGCCCAGAGAACCATACAACTCGCTGCTTTGAAGTACGACAGGATAGAGCGGTAGGGAAGTGGCGGCGGATGTCGCTTGGCTTCACTGGGTAAGATTTACCACACGTCAAGCACCGCTCCGGCCGCGTATCCAGCAAATATGGCAGCGGGGTGTCAAGCAAAAAGATTGCTCGCTGACTAAGATCTCGTCGGACCTGAATAGACGGAGCAAAAAACAAAACTGCAATACAACAAGCTGCGAGGCTTCCAACCATTTGAAAGCGTATGCATAGGCGGTAGCGTGCTGCGTCTTTGAATTCACACCAAGGCACCACGACCTGATGCCAGCGCCCGTCCACAAGCGAGCTCTTGTGCTCGGAGGCAGCAGCTGGCTCCACACGGATGATTTCCCCTGCGGCGGCTGGGGCAGTCGGTCGTTCTGCACTTGCTTGCAGAGGGCCCAAGTAGACCTGCACGTCATGGGCATCAGCAGCTCCAGGCTCACACGCAGCAGGCAAGACATTGAAACGCAGCCGGCCCTTCCGGAGATTTCGTGGTTGAATCTGCACGCGCTTGCAGCCCACATCTTGCAAGTCTCTTTGCGCGCACGTCTCTGTGTCTGCTCGAGAGGCAGTCAGGATCGCCTCATCCAGCGTCTCCTGCAATGGAAGAACATCTGCCATGGGCACTTTCCTGCGCTGGAAGGTGGAGACGATGAAGCAAGGGTTCCCTCGTAAAAGCGCACAGCGTCCTGGACGAGGATCGGGCGGGGCATCGAAGGGTCGTCTGTGGTGAAACAAGCTCATGCTGGCCAGATGTCGCAGTCTGGGCAAAGTTCTCCCTGCTCTCAGCCGCTGGGACAAGTCTGCACCCTGGCCATGTCGATCCAGAGAAATGGCATCTTGAGGGTTTGCGGGGGCGTTCCTGCTGAGTCGCTTTTCCCGTTTACCTTTCTTTGGCCGTCTTTTGCTTCAGCAGCAAGCCTTGCGGAAGGTCAGGGCCTCGTCCGTCAGATCTAGGTTTTCTGGGAAACCTCTTTGGCCAAGCTCTCGTGACACCGGACTGTTTCCGCTTGACGGGCTCAGGATGCTGTGACTGCCAGCGATGCGCTGGAATCCACTGCACGCATCCCTTGCGCGCCGCGCTTGAAATCCTCCAAGGCTCCGCGAGCTGCTCAACTTTGTCAAGCTCCCACAAGTGAGGGGTTCCATAGCACAGCCGTTTCTGTTGCTCCAGCAAAGCTTCCCCTGCACGCCGCAGTCCCGGCTCATCCAACTTGTGCGCCGCAACCAGGCGGGCTCGTGCCACAACATCTCCAACGGCAACCAACCCCAGCCAAATATCCTGACTCGGACGGTCCGCACAGCAAAAATGCAACTGGCAAAGCTGGAGCTGGCTCCTTGCCTGGAGCTCTGCTTGGGAAGGCAGCCCCAGGGAAGTCCAAACATGCAAAAAAAAAAGAAGTGAATCCAGCAAGGCATCTCCGCGCTTTGGAGTGAACGTCCCTCGCAAGAGCCCGGAGGCTCGACCGTCGAGCAAGAGGTTCAGGGACTCTTGGGAAAGCAAAAGCACATCCATGGCAAAAGATCGCTATGCCGGGCAACTGCACGTGTGCCGCTGAACCTGCTTCTGCTCACATGGCTCATGCTCATGATGCCGAAATGTTCTGCATCATGTTCTGCCTCCCCATTAGGAAAGGTACTCCGCGAAAAAATGCCACGCGAGCGAGCGACCAGTGGCTCAGAAAAAAGAACGAGGAATGACAAGGCAATCTTTGGCATCAACACGAAACCGAAGTCCTAACGTCAGCGGGCCTGCAGTGTCGCCAGCCGCATTCCACGACGCAAGTCGCAGAGGTAGACATTGGCAGCGGCAGTGATTGCACGGTGATGTAGACCTTGCCACGTGATGTTAAAACCAGAACAATGGGTCCCCTAAAAAAGACGAGCCACCCACTTACTTTCATCCAAATCAGCCGAGGTGATTTCTGAATTGGCAACCAAATTTACCCCAGTAAAATCATCCAACAGGACCAGCGAAAGTGAGTCAAAGAACTCAAACACATTACCCTTGCAGTGAAGCTGTGCCCCCTTTGCTCTAAACCAACCCAGCCTGACCACTCCCGACCACGCAAAGGTGCAAAGACAACCACTGAAGCAATCACATCTTGATCCAATGAGGTAGTCACATAGAGTACCTCCCACCCCACCAAACCTTTGCTGGCTTTGAAGGGACCTAGCCAAAATACTGCCCACAGTTGGTTTCTTCAGCAAGAACCCCCATAGTAGAAACTATGGACCCAGTATATGGGCTTGCCGTGCATCACTGTGGAGCTTGCCACGTAGAAGCTCTGGGCAACCCAAACATGCTCAGGCCCTGCAAAACAAGGAATTGACACGTCCGGATTCTAGTGAAGGAGTATGAGTGTCACGGCACGCAGGGACAACATGTGACGCAGGCCGTCACTCCATGTCGGACCCTTCAGCAATGCGAATCTCTTTTTATGTTCAGGACTGCTTTGCAATCGGGCCGAAGGAACACGAAGCCAGCAGCCTGGCATGCAGATTTCCGGGGCAGCTGTCTGAAGCCTCTGGCTACAATGTCAGCTTCATATTCCCTACTCGCACAAAAGCTCCGAGAGGGCGGGGCTTCAGATTCACGGGCACGATCTCCAAGGATGCGTCCTCCCCGGATCTGTCGTTGTCATCAGAGCAGCAGGCGTCTACTTCCATCCACTCGTTTTCTTCAGAGGTCCGCGGCTGTTTCTGCACCGGCTTCTCTGTGGGCAACACGTCGAATCTGCGAAGAAGCCGCCAAAGCGCCACCCCCAGAAACATGGAGCCCAGAGCAGTCTGCGCCAACGACATTGCTTTGGGGTTTATGTGACCACCTCAGCCAAAACCTCTGGCATGCGGTTAATCGCATGAAGGAATGAAGGACTCCACTCCATCCACCAAGGGAATCAGTGAAAGACGTCTGTTCGAAACATGAGTCTGCGCACGGATCTCCCACCCCAGCACGCCGCCACGTCCTCCAGACAAACACACACCCGAGAACCTTCATTCAGTGGACCCCCTGCAAGGTTTCCAAACGAACAAAACACGACGGTCCGATGTCCAGAATCTACCCGTCCCTGAAACGATGCACCAGAACATCTTTCCAGATCAACAACACCCTTTCATACCAGCACCGGCTTCTCTTTTACCTGCGAGAGCACCGAGTCAATTGACGGTTGTTCAGCCGCACATCATGTTTATTCCTTTCCAGTCGATGTTGGGAGCTAAAGCGCGTTTCCGGCTCCTTTGGCGGCACGCTCCTTGCCGCCGTGCTTTCCACTCAATAAAAACTGCAAGACGGCAATGGCCTGACATGCATTCTGACTGGCATCAGAGACGCAAAAGTCGGACTTTACAGCTACGCTCACATGGCCAAAAGTGACTTCACTCGGCAGCCACTTGCGAACTTCAGAACATATCTGCGAGTAGCCCCAGCTCGCCGCCTGCTGTCGCTGGCGGTGTGCGCAAACTAGGCGTTGAAAAGCCTGGCTGTTAGCTCCGTGTCGGCAGTGACGGGTCAGCTGCTGTTTCCGGTAGTTCCGAATACCAAATAATGGAAACGCTGCCACTGCGTCCCAGGACAGCAAATACTCGAGCGTGTGTATGAAAACCAGTTCCCCGCCAAAACCTTTTACATGTCCGAGGGCATCCGCCAGCTGCGACACTGTCTGAGCGGCCAACATTCCTGACAACGCCGCTGGCTCATACCACAACTGCCGAAGCAATCCTTCCAACAAGCGCTCTGCGCTCCATGTCTTTTGCTCGGACGTGTGCTTGCTACGAGCGCGGTTAGCCTGAAGACCAGGAAAGCGATTAGCAGCGTAGAGAGCATCGTAGAGTTGGCCGAAGCACTCGCAGTTGCGAAGGAGAAAGTCAGGCCTTGATAGCAAAAATGCGAGTGTGTCTCGCGACCTTGTGGCCAGGACGAACAGCATGGTGGCAAGCACATGACGCTGTTGCTCAGGCGACAAGGGTGTATGGGTCCAGTGCCTCCACCACTGACAGCCCATGTCATTGAATGGGTCGCTTGGCTGCTGATCGGACACATCGATGCCGGTCTTGAACACTGAGTGTAGATGCATCTGCCTGACGCAGGATCTCAATGTAGTGCCGTGGCGGGGGACCTCGGCATGGATCAGCCGTTCAAACAGGTCTGTCGTCAGCAGCCCGCCAACCAGAGCAGTAGGCATCATCCACTGCTTTCTCCCCGCGCAAATTCGGGCCACCACATAGCAAGCCAGATACAAGCAGAACAGGTGAGAAGCCTGGACGGAGGCAAGCTTGTCCTCCCACAGCGCACGCAGCGCTGCGTACACCACCGTCTCCTTCCCGGGCGTAGTGGCATCAGCAAACTTTACTTGGCGCAAATGCGCCACGCGCCTGGCCAATCTGCTATCCTTGCTGTAGCCACGTTTGGCAGCCTCAGCTAGGCTCACAGTCTTGCGACCGGGCATGCTACACAGAGCGCGATATGGAAGGAGAAGATCGGAAGATCACTCTTTAGGAGCCGAGCATGCGGCGAAGGTGATGTGCGACTTGCACAATGTCGCTCGGCAGCACTGCCAGGTCCCTTTACAACTCTTCGTTCGTCACCGCCTGCGTTGAAGGCAACGAATCTACTTCTTCAGACACTTCGCGCTTCTTTTATCGAGGCAGCGCAGACGTCTGCGCGGTTAAAAAAACGACGGTCTGTCAAGCCGTTGTCGTGGCAATAGAAAAACTTGGCCAGCCAGCGTCCTGGCAAAAGCCGCCTGCAGGATCTAAGCCCCCAGAATCTGATCCGGTGATGTTAGACGTCTTGTGGCAATATCCAAAGAAGCCAACAAACGATACCCATGGCAACACACGTCAACCAGGAAGCAAGAGAGCCTAACAGCTCGGCGAAAGCACCAAGCACGCTAGGTCTTCGCAACCTGTCTGACGAGCAGCTAACAGTTACCCCAAACAACTTCCCGCTTGTGCAGAACTTTGACTTGGAGCCTTGGTCACTGTTTGCAACGCCACGCGCCTGCGACAGGGTCAGAAGACATCCTGCAGCAGTAAGTCAAACTGTCAACTAACCCAAACTGCTCCGCGGCAACAAACGTCAATCAGGAAGCAAGAGGGCCTAACAGCTCGGCGAAAGCACCAAGCACGCTAGGTCTTTGCAACCTGTTTGACGAGAAGCTAACAACTACCCCAAACAATTTCCTGCTTGGGCAAAACTGTAACTTGGAGGACTCAAAGACTGAAAGACGGAAGCTCAGAGGTCTGATGCCTTCCTGTCAATAGCCACGCTGCGTGTAACATGTGGGGCTCGCGCAACTCGGCTGGTATCACTTGACACCTGGCTCTGGGTCAGACGCTGCCTCATCCTTCATCTCCCGCAACAGCTACCTCTGGCATTGTCTCCGCAGCGGGAACGCTGGCCCGTGACAACGAGCCGCTCGTAGTTGCCAGAGCGCCCGCTTCACCTCCACGATGGCCAGATGGGTTGTCAAGGTGTTCTTGCAAAGCCCCCAGCCACCCATAAAGGAATTCCATGAGCCCTGTCAGGCCACTCACGTCACTCTGCAAGCGGTCAATGGCCATCTCGGTCTCAGACTCTGCGCGTCTTCGCCTCCGCTTTGCTCGACGATCACGGTCGCCATCTGAATCATGACTGCGATCGCCACCACCACCTTCACCCTCACCTGGGCTGGGATGCTCTCCACCCGCGGGCCTCGTGCTTGGCGCAAACCTTGCCGCCGATGTTGCGAATGCTGGAGGCTGCCCGTGCCCCGAGGCTGCCGCTCGCGCAACTGCAGGACCGCCATTCCCGCCCGACCCAAAAGTCTGGACATTGATGCGAGCGCGACTCGCGAATGGCACAACTATCACGGCTGCATTGCTACACCCAGTCACAGACACGGAGACTACCGTGCGAGGAGGGGCTGCCATGCGGTTCTCCAGATCAGCTAACTCTGACAGACAGAAACACGAACCTACGGAATCTCCAGCCAAACTCAACTGCCCGTGCTGGAGCGCAATCAATCTGCAATTCCTATACCACGTTTCATGGGTCTGTGGGGCCCAACCAAACAAGCCGCATCCAACAAAATAGCATGCAACGAGGCGCTCTTTTTCCAACCCCTGAGTCCAAAAGCCCCACTGGAGCCAACGGGCAACCCGCATGGGAACGAATGGCAGCCAAAGCCAGCGAGGCCGATAGAAAAACTTGGCCAGCCAGCGTCCTGGCAAAAGCCGCCTGCAGGATCTAAGCCCCCAGAATCTGATCCGGTGATGTTAGACGTCTTGTGGCAATATCCAAAGAAGCCAACAAACGATACCCATGGCAACAAACGTCAACCAGGAAGCAAGAGGGCCTAACAGCTCGGCGAAAGCACCAAGCACGCTAGGTCTTCGCAACCTGTCTGACGAGCAGCTGACAATTACCCCAAACAACTTCCTGCTTGTGCAAAACTTTGACTTGGAGCCTGGGTCACTGTTTGCAACGCCACGCGCCTGCGACAGGGTCAGAAGACGTCTACCGCGCCAGGCTCAGGCCCCAAGATGCTACCAGCAAGATCTGGCCCCGTGATTTAGACATCCTGCAGCAGTAAGTCAAACTGTCAACTAACCCAAACTGCTCCGCGGCAACAAACGTCAAGCAGGAAGCAAGAGGGCCTAACAGCTCCGGCGCCCGATTGCCTGGCAGCCTTGCTACGGGAAGAGCTCACTACCAACGCGCAAGGACTTGCACATGTCTCTGGAGTCCTGGCAATCTGTGATGTCCGACCACTTCCTCTTACGAAAGGTCAATGTCGCATGGCCACCGCCTTGCCCTGGGACAATGTCCAGAAGGGAATGCGAGGCAAGGTCTCGAACAGCTTGTAGCAAGGTGTTGGCGGGACCGTTGACCTTCTTCTTGCGGTCTCCCTTGGCTCCACGATCACACAAGGCCTGCAGACGACCCTTGAGCTTTTTCCTGACATCCTTCGTGCTCTGCACCTCAGTTGTGCTTGGAGTGCTCTGCAAGACCCACTTCATGCAGAGGTGAGAAGCATCCTGACCTTGGGCGGGCCCAGTAGACGTAGCTTCAGCCCCGGCCTTGTCAGCAGCAACCACCAGGCCGGAGTAGAACTCCAGCTGGCGGGACCAGGAGTGGATGCCGTACTGGATGTCGCGGATGCCGATGGGCTTGTCCTCGAAGCCAAGCCCGGCGCGGAGCCGAAGGAACCTGAGAAACTGATGGCCCTCATTTTCAGGGGGGCACGCGGCTCTCGACTTCAAAGCGGGCTTAGCATGACCATTCCGGAGCGAAGGGCGACTTACCGCCCACGAGTGCTACAGGATTTGCGCGGGCAAGGCCTTTGCTTTTTTCTTTTTATGGCAGGCCGGGGGTTGATGGATTGTGGCCACGTGGGCAGCTCATGGCTGTACGACTGCATGGCCTACGACTTCCAAAGCCAGAAATGAATCCAAATGTGAATCTAAACGGCTGCCGGGGAGCTGACGCATCCTTCGGACGATGTTGCTGATGCGAAGCACGTCGCTGTCCGCATAGTCCAATTTCTGGGACCACGTCTCCGGCAGGCTCACCGACTCTGCGAAGTCGTCAACGCATTGCTGGATGAGCCTTGCGAGACAAGAGGGACACGCGCGAGGCACGGAGAAAGCAGCACGCGATGGAGAGTTCTGCTCGCGCAGAGCAGAGTAACTTGCACAAAGGCAAGCGCGCAAGGGCAAACTCAAACACAAGCATGCGGGCAAAGCCCGCCTGAGCCAGCCGGCAGCGAACTCATCGCACGTGACCGTGGCGCCTTTGTTGGGCTCATCCCCCTGCGTGGCTCTCTCGGCCATGAAGACAATGAAGTCGGCAAGGAACTGCTTGGACTCTAGACACTCCTGCTCCGGTATCGTGGCCGGCTTCATGCCCTTCACGACGATGTGGAAACGTTTCGGGAAGCCGACTTCGGCCCCCTTCCTCAAAGACAGAACCTCCGATAGCGGCTGAACGTGTCCGATGATCCAATGATAGAAGCTATAGTTGGAGTTGTCGTCCACCATTGCTCCGGTGAGGGAGGCATCGCGCTCTGAGTGCACGAACTTGTTGATGAGAGACTTGGCCGCCAGCTTGGCTTGCGGGATGGATGGGTCGGTCCACGACGTCTTGTAGGTCTCGCTCAGCTCCGTCGAAGAGAGGCCTGAGCGTCTGTAATTGTACAGGTTGTTGCGGTGACCTTTGATGGTCGCGTCGGTAGCGATTGCCGCCGAGCCCTTGACGCCGTGCGGCAGCGTGTCGATGTCGAGCAGCTCTTGAAGTAGCCACTTATGCATGGAGCTCTTGCGGTTGCTTGCCCGCGAACCGAAGAACGCTGCCAAGGTGGGTGTTCTGGCATGCTCCTCACCCTCCGAGATCTGGATCCTGGTGTCCACGTGCTCCAGCCAGCCGGTGACAGTAAAGAGGCCTGTCGCAGGGACAGCGTGGATGTGCAGCTGCGTGCGCGCCAGTATTAACCCGACCCATAGGGGATGCAGGGACAAGCGCGCGGTCAGAACACCACCGCATCTTAAGCCATTTGCCGCGCGTCAACGCGCCGTGCCTTGCAGGGCTGCCTCGGCGCACCAGCCCTGTGCCTTGCACATGGTCTGCACCGCTGTGATGATCGGCACCGGAGCCAGGAGGTTGATGTCGAACGCGGAGTCGTCGCCAACCTCCACCAACGTATTCTTGGAGGCAGTGACGCGCTCAAGCATTGCGAACGTCGCCTGGTACAGCTTCTGGTCCGTCTCGCACTCGAGGAAGAGCTGGACGGGCTCCGACACTGCACCAAGGTCTACATCACTGGCGCATTCCTGAAGCTTGCTCAGGATCAACTGGGCTGGATCAGACCGTCTGTCTGCTGTCTCTCGCGAGGGCCGAAAGGCAAACCCCAGGCGCTCATCTGACTCCACAGGCCCTACGCCTTGGGACTGCGTCAGCTGTGAAGGTTGCAGGTCCTCATCTGCAGTGCCGAGGACCAAAGCTTGGGCGGTGCTCTGCACCGGCACGCCAGCGTCACAAGGCTCCAGGTCCTCATCTGCGGTGCCGAGGACCAAAGCCTGGGCGGCGCTATCCACCGGCACGCCAGCGTCACCGGACATAATTACATGGCAAGCGGAAAGACACGCAAAGCCGCAAAAGCTGCGAGCCCGAAAGGCGGCAAGCAGCAGTATGACCCTGAAGCGCAAGCTGTGTCCTGACAGGGATTCCCGAGTCCTCATTGTCCGTAACTTTGCGCCAGTTTGCGCCCCACGGGACGCTGCAGCGATACCCTGCAGCCGTCACAAGCTCGTAGCTAGGTTTCGCGGGGACGGGGAAACTGGCCTTCAAGGCTGCTGCCGAGGCAGCAAATTAAAAAAACCGAGTTTTACGACGAACTCCAAAAACTCGGCTTTTTTGTTTACGCCCAATTGCGCCCCAAGGGAATGCATCAGCAGCTGCATTCCAGCAAAAATGCTATTTATTCAGCAAGCTCGGCTGCTCAGAAAGCGCCAAAAGAGCCATGCAAGGACCTGAAAAGTGGGGTTGTCCCTGCAGCCCCTGAAAGGTTGCATAAGGACAGCGGTCTGTCAAGCCGTTGTCGTGGCAATGGAAAAACTGGGCCAGCCAGCGTCCTGGCAAAAGCCGCCTGCAGGATCTGAGCCCCCAGAATCTGATCCGGTGATGTTAGACGTCTTGTGGCAGTATCCAAAGAAGCCAACAAACGATACCCATGGCAACAAACGTCAAGCAGGAAGCAAGAGAGCCTAACAGCTCGGCGAAAGCACCACGCACGCTAGGTCTTCGCAACCATGAATGTGATGTCAGCTTGATCTGTCAGGTGTGGCCTAAGGCCCCCGAGCCAGCGCCCAAGGAGATGCCGCCGTCAGGAAAGATCTGATAATATACTACAAGAACACAAACGAACCTTCTGGTGGTAAGCAACCCAAGCAATCACACGGGAAAAGGGGGCCTTCAGCCCCGCTTGTGAGCGAGCCGGCCTTGGTTCAGCGGTAAATGCGTCGGACTCAACTTTGTCTTGCGGGAAAATTTGGAGGCTCGAATCCCGGACCTGTCGCGCAAAACGAATTCTGTTTTTGATACCGCCAGGCTTGGGGTGAAGAGTCGGGCGCGAGCGAGGCAGGCAGAGACGACGCAAAAACAATTTTTCGGGCCGAAGTAAATTGTTTTTGGGCGCGGCTAGGTTTGGGGCGAGCACAAGCCTTGGGAAGAGGCAGGCGCGTGCGATACAGCCAGAAAGGCGGCTACTGGCAGCCTCACGGCCCATCGCTCAGGAGCTACATCGGCGCCTTTGTTTTCCTTGCGCCCGCTTTGCGCCAGGCTCGCGCTCCAGCCGGGCCTTGTGGCACGCGGAAACGCACGCAAGGCAAGCTTTCTGGCTCGTGCCAAGACTGGCCCTCCCAGGCGACGCGCAAGAAGCAAACGAAAGAAAGCTGCAATTTGGGCAAGAGCCACTTAGCATACATACATACATACATACATGCATACATACATGCATACATGAGCTATTTGGAGCCACCTGGAGCCACTTGAAACAGAACGTGCCACTTGGAGCCACATGGAGCCACTTGGAGCCACTTGAAGCGGCACGCGCCACTTGGAGCCACTTGGAGCCACTTGGAACCACTTGGAGCCACTTGAAGTTCGGCGAAAGCACCAAGCACGCTAGGTCTTTGCAACCTGTGTGACGAGAAGCCAGCAACTACCCCAAACAATTTCCTGCTTGGGCAAAACTGTAACCTGGAGCCTGGGCCACTGATCGGTGACGGAAATGGGCGTGCCAACCTGGTCACTGGCAGCTCGGCGAAGCGAGCGAGGCAGCCAGAGACGACGCAAAAACAATCTTTAGGGCCGAAATAAATTGTTTTTGGGCGCGGCTAGGTTTGGGGTGAGCACAAGCCTTGGCATCTTTTTTTGAAAAGTAACATCCTTACTAAACCGTAAAGTCGCGGGTTTTGGACGGCCCTCACATGACTACCCCTCAGCCTCTTTGAAGACACTTCGCGCTTCTTTTATCGAGGCAGCGCTGACGTTTGCGCGGTTAAAAAACCGGCCATGACTTCACCGCGCCAGGCTCAGGCCCCAAGATGCTACCAGCAAGATCTGGCCCCGTGATTTAGACATCTTGCAGCAGTAAGTCAAACTGTCAACTAACCCAAACTGCTAGGTCTTTGCAACTTGTCTGACGAGAAGCCAACAACTACCCCAAACAATTTCCTGCTTGGGCAAAACTGTAACTTGGAGCCTGGGCCACTGAGCGGCGACGGAAATGGGCGTGCCAACCTTGTCACTGGCAGCTCGGCGAAACGCCAAGCACACCAGCAACAGGATTAGAAGACATCTACCGCGCCAAGGTCAGGACCCAAGCCCACATGATGGCCTCCAGAAGCTGGTAGTAGCAAACGAGGATGACCGCAGTGGTGCCATCGGCGTCCACATGGATCTCAAGAACGGGCCACCACGGCTCCTGGGAGTGAAGGCCCTGGAGGCCGTCTTGGATCTCGCCCAGCTCCTGCTCCAACTCCTCCCATCGCGCAAACGCGTCCCGGGAGTAGTCTCCCCGGTTGGAGTACTTGCCGCTGATCGGGTCATACCTCACCACGGCCAACTCGGCAGAGCGGATGATGAGAGTGTTCTCCACGGGCCCGTTCGCCACGGCTGCCTCCATCACGGTTTTGATTGAACTCAGTTACAGGCTTGGAAAAGGCTGCAAGCCTGCAATTTGTTTGCATGACCGAAACAGCGGGGCACTATCACAGCATTAGTTGATGATTAGCCCCAAGTGACAGAACAAGGTCATACAATTGGGACAAGCGCAAACTCACACCAGGCCTTGATCTGCCACACCTTGCTCTTCGCACCGCCCCAGCGCAATTGGATGCCTTCCCCCTTGTTCAGGCGGTCCCACAACACGACGGGCATCAGCGTGACATCGCCCCAAAAGCGCTGGACCTCCTGCTTGGTCGGCTTTCGCCCGGCAACCACGAGCCCAGTGGCGTCAAGCCTCTTCGCTGAAGAGGCTGGGCCAAAGAGCCGTGTCCCCAGGGCATGCTCTGTGACCGCCTTGAGGTGGTTCTTGCCCTGGGCGTGGCAGGGGTCCCAGACCACACCACAGAACTTGCACCTGCCACCGATTCCCTCCGCCGGCTTGGCAAAGGCTTGCGCCCGGCTCAACTCCGCTTCCGTAAGCGGATCCTTCAGGCCCGCAGGCACGGCAAGCGCCGCACTCAGCCGCTCCTGGATTGTGACCGCGGCGCCCTCCGAGACCATGCCCAAGTGCTCTGCGAGGAGATCTGAAAACGGTGTTCGCCGTGAGGTCTCCCTCGCATTGAGCACCTCCTGGTCCGTCATCGCATCCACAACCTCCTGACACATGCCTTTCTTGATCATGGCTCTTCGGATCCTCTTCGCTGCCCTCTTAGGGCCTCTGTCCCTCTCATTGCGGGCCTTGCTCAGCTTTGAGCTGGCCAAGGTCGTGTTTCCCAAAGAAGCAGCTGAGGCATCAGACATCCCATCCTCATCCACGTGGGATTCCGAGGCTCTCGTGGATGCGTCAGCTATGCTCATCGCCAACTCGTTCTTGGCCTTCACCTCGCAAAGCTTGGACATCGACATGGCTTTTCCTCCAGGGGCTTTTTGGTACTAACGTGCTTCTCTTGGCAGGAGCGGCGGCTGCGTGGCAGACGTGGAAAACAACAGCAGTCAGCCCCCGAGTTGCAAGCTGATGCTTGGGACACTGATCCCCTACGCATAAGGGGTGGGGGACCTGGAAAATGCACATCTGCAGTTTTAAGGTCCCCCCTCGACATCCGGGAGCCAGGACATGACACAAAGCCTCCTTCAACCGCCAGAGCAGAAGGAATGAGTGCGCCTGCAAAGCTCAGCTTGGGCTGAAGGCCTACTTTTGACATCGACCCACTTAGGTGTTTTTGGACCTACATCTTGGAGAGCGTTGTTGGGTATCGTTATCCAGGCAAGACCACAAATGGAGCACCTGTGTGATACACCCTTGCACGCCCTCGCGTGACTCAAGTAATGGCTATTTACATATGAACCTGGTCGCAAATACCTCCGCGCTCAACACCCAGCCGCTCAGCATTCGCTATCCGCTGCACGCAAGCGCTCTGCGCAGTCCTTCAAATCCGCTTACGCCCAGCGGCCGCAAGCAGATTTCGTGGTGCGACAGCAGATTTCTGGCAAAAAATCCGCTAGCGCGCTGGCAAATCCGCTTACGCCCAGCGGCCGGTAGCAGATTTCCAAAACTGGCGTGAGCGGCTTTCGGCCGCTGGGCGGCTACCGGCCGCTGGGCGTAAGCGGATTTGACAGCGTGCTAGCGGATTTCAGGCTGGAAATCTGCTGCCGCGCCACGACATCTGCTTCCGGCCGCTGGGCGTAAGCGGATTTGCACTTTTTCTTAACGCGATGGCTTAGCGATGCACTAGTCCCAAGTGCAACCAAAGGGTTCGAGACGCCACCGGGATGAAGGAATCCAACAAAGTAAAGAGATGCACGAGGAGTCAGGCGGCTGTTTTTTCGCCCGCGCAAAAGAACTGCAATAAAATGCTAGACTTTCAACAAAGGTGGCGCCGGGGTGGCGCCAAGGATCACATGCTCTCACATACATGCTCTCACACTTGTTTCAACATGTGACCAGACATGATGGCAAAGCAAATCTCATGTAATCTCACGAATAACGTATGATAGCGCACTATAGATTCTACGTGGGGAGAAAAATGCATAAAAATAAAATGCATAAGGTACCTAGGTCCCCCCTAAATGCATTTTCCTAGAATGGGGGATGGACACTGTGGTCAGCCCCCCCGCGCAGAAGATCAGCAATCGCCACTTCGGAGTTCGCGTGTCAGGGGTTCCTTGAAATGTGAAAGCCCTGGTCTATTCGAGTTTCGCCGTAAGGCCTTTGGATCTACCCCCGGCACAATCTACAAGATGCTTCAACAGAAGGATTCACGGACTGTCCGGCCTGTGAGTGCAACGAGCTGCACTGCAAGTAGCACTGCGCCTGCCTAAAACAAACTAGGGCAAGGGCGAGGGAGGTGACTGGGCGGAGCCTTGGAGTCGCAGGAGACAGCTTAAAATCTACCCTTTGTATGAAAGCGCAGCTACGGTGAAGCGCCTGTTGTCTGCGTACCTGCCATCTTTCGTCTTCGGGGGGGAATTCGTCTTCGGGGGGAATTCGTCTTCGGGGGGAAATCGTCTTCGGGGGGAAATCGTCTTCGGGGGGGGATTCGTCTTCGCGTCTTCGGGCATGTGGTTGGGCTCGAGTCTGCTTCGGGGCAATGTGTCTTCGTAATTCGTCTGCGTCTGCGGGTGGAACAGTGCTACCCCCACCGCGGACACAATGTTAAGAAAAGGCTTTGCTAAGACATGCCGAGTCCGTATCTAAACAAACCAAATCCGCGTCTTGCCAAACAAGGTCTGGAAGTGTTTGTCTGAACCCACTGACTCTCACCGAATGCTCAGGCAGCAATGCAAACACGCACGCGCTTGCAACTAAATTGGTAAGGCGGACGCTCGCAATCAAAGGCATCTGTCTGTCTTTTTGCGGCCTGAAGAACTAGGCAGATGCTCTACAACATCAACTCGGAAGGCCTCAAAGACTGAAAGACGGAAGCTCAGAGGTCTGACGCCTTCCTGTCGATAACCACGCTGCGTGTAACATGTGGGGCTCGCGCAACTCGGCTGGTATCACTTGGAGCCTGGCTCTGGGTCAGACGCTGCCTCATCCTTCATCTCCTGCAACATCTACCTCTGGCATTGCCTCCGCAGCGGGAACGCTGGCCCGTGACAACGAGCCGCCTCGGAAGAGTGCCATTTTACGAGGTAGGCGCAAGAATGCGCAAGGGCGAGCGCAAGGTTTTGAACATTTGTCAGCTTTTTTGCCGCACAAGTCTTGGGGAGAAGCGGGCGGGGCTTGGGCGAGGAATGGACGAATGGAAAAGTGTCAATGCTCGACCGCGAACGTTTCCAACCACGAACAAAAAAGCGCAACGCCCGACCATTGCAAAACAAGCCTTCCAGACCTGAAAGCAGCCCCCGAAAAGGCATGGTGCTCTAGGAGACAAAGGTACCGTGAATTGCCCCAATTGGTGTTTAACGCAGGTTGATTCCAAACACCTTTGCGACGAAACAATCATGCTCTCCAATACTTTCCCTTGTGAGGAGACAAAAGTACCGCGAATTGCCCCAATTGGTGTTTAACATAGGTTGGTTCCAAACACATTTGCTGCGACGAAACAATGCCCTCATGCTCTCCCATTCTTTCCCTTGTGAGGAGCCAAAGGTACCGTAAATTGCCCCAATTGGTGTTTAACGCAGGTTGATTCCAAACACCTTTGCTGTCACGAAAGAATGCCCTTGTGCTCTCCAATTCTTCACCATGCCACGCCACTTGCTCTCTCTCTCTCTCTCTCTCTCTCTCTCTCTCTCTCTCTCTCTGTCTCTCTCTTTCTCTCTTTTCCTCTTCTCTGAACGCAGCAGGGTTGGCGCGCACTGCTCGAAAATGCGAAAGTTACTACCAAAATTGCAGGGGCTCACGCGATCTGTCATGTGCTGCAGGCTCAATCTCCGAAGACCATCTTCTCAATCTGCCTGACCGTCGGCAATTTCACCTCAGCACCTAGGCAAGCCGGGGAAAACTGCAGCTGAGTGGTCCGTGAGAATGAAAATCGGTGCTGGAAGGCATGCGGACACAGGTAAACAGCGGAGCCCATGAAAGAAGCATCAGAAAAATCTGCGTTGGGCAAGGCGCAGTCACGCTGGCTTTTCCGCAGCTTCTTGTTCTGAGCGCGCGCCGCCTCGACCTCCTCGTGAATTTCCTTGTGCTTGCCGCCCACCCAGCCCTCGTTGCGCATCAGCAAGGAGAGCGCGAGATCACTCTTGCACACCGTGGTGCGCTTTCCGTGCTGCGCCAATAGGGCGCAGTCTGTCATCCACTCCTGCGCCTCAGTCTCTATAAGTCTTTCGCTAGTCTCTGGATTTTTTCGCGCTAGCAAGTGGACTCTACTGCCATAACTAAAAACAGAAAATGGCTGCTGAAACCTTACCATGATATTTCCTCAATATCTACGACCCGCCGGGAAACTTACCAGATTGCTAAAGAACTTGGCCCACCGTGGCCAACCCCCATGGCACACAAGTTAGCCCGCAACACCAAGAACTTAGCCCATTTACAAAACTGCATGGCAAAAAAGCGCGTTTATGTTGCGATGCCTATGTGTTTTCACATTAGCTTCTACTTGTCGCGAGCTTCAAAATTGTGCGAGCCGTGTCCACAAACGCTTGGCGCACCAACCGTCACCAACACCGCAAATGGCACAAGTTCTTTCCTCGCAGCTCAAGTCTCCCACGGACCCAGTATCACCTGATGCTTCCCCGCAAGCCGTGCAAGAATTCTATGCTTAAAGTGGAGTGTTGGAATTTCAACATGTTAGTGGGAGAGTCTTCAAAATTGGTGTTCACTTGGGCGCGGAAAACTTCCTGTTGCAGTGTGTGTAAGCTGCCGCATTAGGAGTGGGTTGGCACTCAGACTGAAACACATGTAGGTGCAATGATTACGAAACCCTTTTCAAGTGTCCCCCAGTTCCCCGCGGATTACCTGGACGCAACGCACTGAAAAAGTGTGCACTTCCATGATTGTGGGACCCAGCAAACGCAAAACGCAGAGGGCTGCGGGGCTAATTCCAACCTGACCCTTCCACCAACATCCCGCGTGTTGAATCCGCTTGCGGACTAAGGAACAAACATCTCAAGGGACATCTGCAACGCCAGCAAGGAGTTCTTGGAAAAGCTGACGCGGTTTCCAGTGAAGTCCTCTTTCTCATGCAAGTCTTGGGCAAACTTCTTGGCATGGGCCTGCAGCCAGCAGCGCGAGATCTCGAAGTCGCTGTCGTCCAGACACACAGGCTCAGCTCGCTTCTTCGGCTTTGGCTTATCAGCCATCTTTGCTCTGCGCCCACCGAAGTCGCTGTCGTCCAGACACACAGGCTCAGCTCGCTTCTTCGGCTTTGGCTTATCAGCCATCTTTGCTCTGCGCCCACCACGCTTGCTGGGCTCCAGCTTGCTGACTTGCACTTGCAAGTTTCGGGTCGCACGGCTCACTGGGCCTTCTTGAGACCAGCCAGCTGGCGACGTGAGGTCAACTGGAGCTTCTTTATCCACCTGGCTTTCGGCGATATGGCCGTCCACTTCTTCAGCCTAGAACGGGCGCGCAGTTTGGAGATTGGATGGAGGCCCACCCCTCCATTGTGACACACCGGCGCCTCCACATGAGCAATTGCCTGCGCTCCCCGTCGCTCGTCCTTAGGACCGGCACAAGGCATTGTTGACTGGCTATCGCTAATGCCAAGGCACCGCCAACGCAGGTGCAGCTCCTGCCCCCTTGGTCGAGCAGGCCTGGGTCTGCCTTGCCTCCAGCGAGTGTGTGTGTGACTAAAAGAAGCAGCCTCAGCGCAACTGCGGACACCAGATTCGCAACACAAAACACTGCAAAGCACCCTCTCAAACCAACGCGCAACTCAACGCAAGCTGCGCCTGGAGCCTTGCCCTGATCTCGCTTTTGGTGCCTTTCTTAGAAACCTTCATCTTCGTGGCCATCTCTCTCAACTGCTGCAAGGACAGTTTGCGCAAGGAGGCCTGTCTCAGAATGGAATGCTCCGCAGCAACGACGCCAACCAAACAAGTTCAACCGCGCGCCTCTGCGGGGGCATGCACTTCTGGGGCTTTGTCCTTCAGCTCCGCAAAGCCCTAAAACCCTCTGCAACATGCTGCAACTGCGGATGACCTGCCATCTCACCGCAGCCAACAAAACAAGTTCAACTGCGCGCCTCTGCGGTGGCTGCCGCTTCTGGGGCTTTGTCCTTCAGCCCCGCAAAAACCCTAAACACCCTCTGCATTGCGGATGACCTGCCGTCTCACCGCAGCCAACCAAACAAGTTGAACTGCGCGCCTCTGCTGCGGCTGCCACTTCTGGGGCTTTGTCCTTCAGCTCCGCAAAACCAAACAAGTTCAACTGCGCGCCTCTGCAGTGGCTGCCGCTTCTGGGGCTTTGTCTTTCAGCCCCGCAAAAACCCTAAACACCCTCTGCATTGCGGATGACCTGCCGTCTCACCGCAGCCAACCAAATAAGTTCAACTGCGCGCCTCATAAGGAAGAATCTGCCCGAGCAGATCAAGATCTATCACCGAGGCAACTCTACTGTCCCGGCGAACAAAACCCCCCCGCAACGCAAAAATGCATTTGGAATCTAGGGCACCCTACAGCAACCGGGTTCTATTGTCAGCTATTCCAGAAGCTGGCCTGCAACTCCAGCTCTTCGAGCGTTGCTGCTGCCGCTCGCTTGCGTAGAGAGGTCTCCGGAGAAGACGCCATCGCTTCTAGAGCTTCTGAACTTCAATTCGAGACAGAAATGGCCCAGACCTGGATTTGCCCCCTCAAGGGGCTCTGAAAAGGAGACGTCTAGTCCTTGCCCAAAGGTGATGGGATTTGCCCTTCCAGGGCTTTGAAACAAGGGATTCTGGACGTCTTTGCCCAAAGGTGATGGGATTTGCCATTCCAGGCCTTTGAAACAAGGGATTCTGGACGTCTTTGCCCAAAGGTCTTGCAGGGCTTTGAAAAAAGGGATTCTGGACATCTTTGGGATTTGGTCTGAGGGCCCCTGCACCTAAACTGATGGGATTTGCACCTAAACTGATGAGATTTGCACCTAAACTGATGAGATTTGCACCTAAACTGATGAGATTTGCACCTGGATTCGCACTTCCACGTGAGGACGGGAAAGTGCAAATAGAACGTCGTGGGTGGACAGCAAGACGAAGCCGTGCATGGATAGGTTTGAAACGGTAATGGTCCGGAGAAGACGCCATCGCTTCTAGAGCTTCTGAGCTTCAATTCGAGACAGAAATGGCCCAGACCTGGATTTGCCCCCTCAAGGGGCTCTGAAAAGGAGACGTCTAGTCCTTGCCCAAAGGTGATGGGATTTGCCCTTCCAGGGCTTTGAAACAAGGGATTCTGGACGTCTTTGCCCAAAGGTGATGGGATTTGCCCTTTTCTGGACGTCTTTGCCCAAAGGTCTTGCAGGGCTTTGAAAAAAGGGATTCTGGACATCTTTGAGATTTGGTCTGAGAGCCCCTGCACCTAAACTGATGGGATTTGCACCTAAACTAATGAGATTGCATCTCTTGTTTTTTGCACCTAAACTGATGAGATTTGCACCTAAACTGATGAGATTTGCACCTAAACTGATGAGATTTGCACCTGGATTCGCACTTCCATGTGAGGACGGGAAAGTGCAAATAGAACGTCGTGGGTGGACAGCAAGACGAAGCCGTGCATGGATAGGTTTGAAACGGTAATGGGTGACAAGACACACATTGAACTTGGAAAGGCAGTCGTGGATAGACCACACCCTCGGGCTTGGGCAGCCTAGGCGGGCTGCCAGGGCAACCTGGAGCTGACCCCCCGGAAAAACATTTTTTCGGGGCGAAATAAATTGTTTTTGGCCCAGCCGGATTTTGAAGACCGAGCGGCCAGACGGGAAAAGGCGGCTTTCAGCCCCGCTTGTGAGCAAGCCGGCCTTGGTTCAGCGGCGAATGCGTCGGACTCAGCTTTGTCCCGCGGGAAAATTTGGAGGCTCGAATCTCGGACCTGTCGCGCAAAACGAATTCTTTTTTGACACCGCCAGGCTTGGGGTGAAGAGGCGGGCGCGAGCGAGGCAGCCAGAGACGACGCAAAAACGATTTTTCGGGCCGAAACAATTTGTTTTTAGGCGCGGCCAGGTATGGGGTGAGCACAAGCCTTGGGAAGAGGCAGGCGCGTGCGATACAGCCAGAAAGGCGGCTACTGGCAGCCCGCCATTTTGCGCCATTTTGCGCCCAATGGGACACAGCAACAGCAACAACAACAGCAACAACATCGACAAGAATCACCAGACGGACGAAGCCAGCCTGCCCGTCCGGTTGCACAGGCGGTGAGCCTGTGGGAACTGCATCACGTATCCCCTTTTCGACAGGCAGCTGCCGGCCAGACAAAACAACAACAGCAACAACAGCCAGCCTGCCCGTCCGGTTGCACAGGCGGTGAGCCTGTGGGAGCCGCATCACGTATCCCCTTTTCGACAGGCAGTTGCTGGCTCAGCAGCAGCAGCAGCAACAACAAGAACGACAACGACAACGACATCGACCTCCCCGTGCGGCTCGAAATCTGTGAAACTGAGTGGAAAGCACAAGCGTGGATAGGTCCGGGAAATTGCTCAGCGATGTTTGACCTCCCCGTGCGGCTCGAAGTCTGCGAAAATGAGTGGAAAGTACAAGCGTGGATAGGTCCTGGGCTCGTAGTTAGGTTTCGCGGGGACGGGGAAACTAGGCGTCAAGGCTGCTGCCGAAGCAGCAAATAAAAAAACCGAGTTTTACGACGAACTCCAAAAACTCGGCTTTTTTGTTTGCGCCCATTTGCGCCCCGAGGGAATGCAGCAGCAGATGCATGAGGTCGTACAGGTACTTCATGAGGTCGGTCGTACAGGTACTTCATGAAGTGGTATAGCATAAGGTCGTACAGGTACTTCATGAGGTCATACATCATGAGGTCGTACAGGTACTTCATGAGGAAGTGGATGTGGGGATGTAGAAGGTGATGTTGTGGTGGTAGTCCATGAGGCAGACCATGAGGTGGTACAGCATGAGGTCGTACAGGTGCTTCATGAGGTCGTGCAGCATGAGGTCGTAGAGGTACTTCATGAGGTGGTATAGTGGAATAGCATAAGGTCGTACAGGTACTTCATGAGGTCATACATCATGAGGTCGTACAGGTACTTCATGAGGTGGAGGATGTAGAAGGTGATGTTGTGGTGGTAGTCCATGAGGTAGACCACGAGGTGACAGCATAAGGTCGTACAGGTGCTTCATGAGGTCGCACAGGTACTTCATGAGGTTGCGCAGGTACTTCATGAGGTCGTACAGCATGAGGTCGCCTAGGTATTTCATGAGGTAGTGGATTCAGGAGGCACCCGTCGGTAGTCTCCGGTGCCAGCTTGTTGCAATGGCCAACGTGCTGCAGTTAGCCACTTTCTTCTCTGGGTCAGTGGTCTGCAGAGACTTGGAATCACTTGAGTGCTCGAGGGCTGCTGTCAGGTCAAACGGCTCGCATGAACACAGCAGGAAAACAGCCAAGCGCTCACAGAAAGGACCAAACATTGGAGGGGGCCCTGAACAACTATTCTAAACTCTATGGGGCCTTGATAACTGTTTACATAGCACTTTTGAGTAGGCTGAGTTCCGGGGCATGGTTTCCACACAGGATGTCTGGGTCCAAAGCGAATTTTCCACGCATGTTTGGCTCTGTCAAAGGCTTGTTTTCCACAAACAGCGGCGTCTTGAAATGCGCTTTTTCCACAAACAACGGTGTCTCCAAAGGCGTTTTTTCCACACATGTTTGGCTCAGTCAAGGGCTGGTTTTCCATAAGAACAGCGCTGTTGTGAAAAGCGTTTTTTCCGCAAATGTTTGGCTCATTCATGGGCTGGTTTGTGGGTAAACAGTCTCCTCAAGTATTGTCGGTCATACTGCCTGTCATACGCCCCGCCCGTTTCTTGTGACCTTGTCCTTCCCAAAACTGAACCAAATAAGTCTGAAGGCAAATGTTAAGATTCGGGGCCCTTTCCTCTTGGTTCCGTTTAGCTGCTGTTTAACACTACACAAACATGGGGCATCCGCACCAGTAACATTTCGTGAGCCAAAAACAAAACCCAAACCCTCTGCAATCAGCCTCAGCCTTTTCCGATCGGATCGACGCTCAAGCTTGGCAACGTACGTGGCAAAGGCGTCGCTCCCCAGTCATTGGGCATATTCGTGCGCTGCTTGAAAGCTTGCCAGTTCACACAGAACTTTGAAAAAGACGACTATCGGTTCGTGGAACAATCAGGGTGTCTATCATCAAAGCGTGAGTTATGAGAGTCACAAGTCATGCTTCCAGGGGCCCTTTTGACATACGACCCTCTGACCTGTGGACGCCAATGCCGGTGGCTGCTACAGCCAGCAGCTAACATGTCACACTGTGACACCACACCCCCGGTGCTTTAGCCTGCCGCAACTTTGTTCAGGTAGAGGTCGAGCGCGGCGGGAAGCTGGATTTCTTTCGCGCCCACCATCAGGCGGGCTCGCCTTGCCAAAGCGCCGCGCGTCTCGGTCGCCTTCAACGGCCGGCTCAAAGCCTGGATCACCGCCATCGTGACGTTGAGCCTTTTCGGCTGGGTTCGGCTCAGGTCCAGGTCCATGAGCTCCGCCGTGGTGTCTGGGGCCAGCTTCAAACCCTGGAGCAACTTGCGGCACTGGAGGTCTACCTCAAACTGCTTCGCCATGTTGTGCAAGTCGCGGGATGCCATGCTCTGCGCGTTCGCCAGCAGGCTGTCCAAGTTGTCTGGGCACCCTTCGTTGATCAGGCGCTCGGTGTCTGCAATCTCCTTTCGGGCAAGAAGGTCTCCAAGGCTGACATTGAACTGGCTCTGCTTGGAGATCCAAAGCTTGGCAACCTCATTCACAATCGCCTCCCAGCGCTCCGCGGCCTTGTCCAAGACCACCATGATGCCGGAGTTGGCAGCCGTGACTGTCAAAGGCATCCTCGAGTCTGCAAGCTGAGCCTTCACGGCAGTGAGCATCTTGTCGAACTCGTTGGCCGCGCGGGCGAAGTCCTCGCAAAACAAGGGGTCCATAGCCCTCGCTGCGTCACCGTCTGACACTGCCTGCTGCAGCAAGTAAACGCCGGCCAAAGCCTTCACGATGGACAGGCATGACGGCATGAAGCAGATCAGCCAAACAGGGCCATGAATCCCGCCGGCGGGCAACTCGACTGCCCTCTCCTTGAGCTTGTCGTAAGGAAGCTCAGCAAGCAACTTCTGGCATTTCATCGCCACTTCCGACACCAAGGGCATTGCAAGGGCAGCGACGGAAGCGGCCGTGGCATTGAGGTACTCAACGCTGAGGGCGTCGCCGGTCTTGCTGTCCGGGGACATCTTGGCAAGGAACTCGGCAACTTTGTCGGCCTTCAGGAGAGGCTCGAGCCACGAAGCCAAGGAAGAGTCCACCAGGAAGTTGAACCGCCTCTCACAAGCGGACTGGAAGGGGCTGAAGAACGGCTGGGCCTTCACCTCAGCACTTGGGCAGGTGGCCATGCTGATCATCGACGTGTGCCTGAGGGACAATGTGACGAGATGTTCGGAGAAGAAAACACTTCGCCGGTACTGCCCGTGCCCGATTTGCCAAGCGCAAAAGACTCAAACACGTTTTCCAACAAATTCAAAAGGGCTTGAGACAGGACAGGGTTCAAAAGGGCTAGAGAAGACAGGGTCTACGAAGGACCAGGTCCATCTGCCCTTTGCCCAGCTACTACCACGGCCAACACTAAATCAAGTCTTGGACTGAGGCCTACAACTACGCAATTTTCAGCGCTAAACGGCTAAACTGCTAAAACGCATACTCAGATGCGGGTCACGGATACTAATAAACTAAGACTCAAACATGACTGGCCCCGCCTCTCATCACTTGGGTCGAATGTCTGCGCAGTCAACAAGGTGGGAAAGTTCACCTTGAGGGAGTCAAGCAGGTTGGTCAACTGCTGGCACGACGCGCAGCGCTTCTCCATTTCCTGCCCAAACCCCCTCCTGAAAGTTTAGCTTGCAGTGGTTAAACTTCAGTTAGTCGGTTGTGTGGATACTGGAAAGTGCCACACCAAAGGAAAAAACAAAAAGGCTGGGGACCACCAAGTTTCCTCTTTGCCCACCAGATGAGTGAGGTAGTCC